TTATTATATTTCGGACACGGTCTACGCCTGCCAATGATTTGATATTCAGTATCTGATGACGGGCCACCACTCAGAGCAAGACGAACTTTAGATTGATAGCGAAGATTGAAGGACCGGATGATGGGCGATTGGTGATGATGATTGTAGTTCTCCCACTCGGGAACTCTAGCCACGCGACGCGCGGGAGCGAACGTGTGTAGATGAAGGGGAGAGATGGTTCATTGGCTCATTGGTTTGGTTGTTGGTAGGAACGGGTGGTATCGCGGCCATCTGGGTAAATGCAAGTTGAAGATTAATCAGGAGAGAAGATGAGGACAAAAAGGGGAGGGAACCGTTGGATTGTTGGCTCAAATCCCGGCGCAGGTGAAAAGTCTCTTTTTCTATATTGCCGGTAGGGACGGGTGGGATATAAGGCAGTAATGAAAGGGAATCCCAAAGTTTCCAGAACGCGAACGGAGTAGAATGAAGCATGGAGATGAGGTTGGGCGAGAGAACCTAGGAATACGAGCCTCTGTCTTCTTTCGAATCTCGTTTCTTCCCCTTACAGTCGGTTTCTAGTGTACGAGTAGTCTTCCGTAGATCGGATGATACCTAGGAGCAGGAGTAGAAAGACCCATCTCGAAAAGCTCCATGACCGAGTATTCCCAACCGATGCATCAACAAGCGTCTACCTTCACCAAGGCGGTGAACCGTGAACGACATACGGGTAGTTATGCGCCCGCCTCGCCTCGTTAAACTCGTTTAAGAGTGCGAATACGCGAGCAGAGCTGGCTCAAGCTCCCAAGCGTGCCTGGGATGGCATCTCCAAACGGCAAACGGGATATGCACGTCTGCAGCAAAACATGCCAACCGACCTGCCCCATACCCCTGCCTGCCCCCGTCGTGCCCCTCAACGTTTGGAAAGTTTCACCTTCGGCTAAGGCATCTGCCGTGCGCCGTCTGCCACTAGCGGCTGATCCGGCGGGGGGCTTCTGGAAAGATGTCTTGGTAATTCCGGCCTTTGGGTTGGTACAGGTGGGCTCTCAAGAGTACCTAGAGTCGAGCACCGAAACGAAGAGGTATGTTTCTTCCCGGTGCATGTTCTGAAGCTACTGCGGTATTCGAAAGTACAATACCAGTGTCAGGCAAGCACGGCAAGATGGGTAGCTCGCTGCTCGAGCTAGGGCCCTGCGAGTGGAATGCAGCCCGCCAAGCGAGGGAAGCAGATCGCGGACCCTTTGAACCCTGGAGGGGGCGTTACCCAATTGGGAGTTGCGTATTCGTGAGCATTTCAATGGACCCAGCGACGTCCTGGCATACGCAAGCTTGGGACTTTGGATCGCGTTCAAATGACCCGTCAAGAGGGAACCGCAGAGGCGGCATGAGGAAACTGAGGCGAGGGGAAGAGGTTTGGTATCCCGCCGCCGGAGCTCTTATCCTTGACGACATGATATCCTGAAGCTTTTTTTGGCTTTTTTGCCACGCCGCACGACATCTTTCTTGAGAAGCTATCTGGGTACTGCGCAATCCGGGGACATGGTGCAGTTAGGCGGGAATTCAAGAAGCTTGCGCGGGGGAAACACAACTGGAAATGTTTGACGTGTTCCCCATTCTAGGGTGGTGCGTGATCGTAGTAGGGATCTCCCCGATCGTTTGCTCGAGACTGAATGAGGGGTTCCAAATGACGGCAAGGAAGACGAGGAACAAAGGTTCCCTGGGTTTCCAAAGTTCCTCTGGCTCGCCTGGCTTTACCTTAGCGCAGGCCCCAAAGTCAGTATTCCGTACTAGGGAAAAGGTGATGGATGTCTGTGAGTTTTCAATGACAAGGGTATCATCAGCTAGTTCATACTTGTAACTTCACTGCGCGGTGGTCACTTGGTGTTAGTCCCATCTTCCACTCGCTCCTCTTTACCCGAGCGTTTCGAACGGACTCGTCTCAGCTGGAGCCACACCCACTTCCCATCTGCTCTTATTACGCAGACTGATATCGTTCCTACCTTTCTTTCTTCGTTTCTTACTTTCTCTGTTCCCTTCTCTGCAACTCTGTTTTGGTGAAGTCGTCTCTTGGATCTTTCATCTCATCTTCGTGAGCTCTTCGAGCTCTCTTGGAAAAGGAAACATCGCCAGATAAGAAGAAACAATCTTCAAGAAAAGGGTGACGACCAACCGCCAGACAACAATAGAAGATCAACAAAACCGGGAAAAGAAAGTCGGTCATCGCCACAATGTCCCTCGCGACAGCAGCAACCCAAACCCTCCTCCACCCGCAAACGTGGCCGACGTCGATCTGGGTCCTCCTCCTCACGGGACTCGCCTACGCCGTCGGCTTCCTCGCCTACCGCCCTTCGTTCCCGCGCAACGCGCCGAAGGTGGTGCGCGGGTGGCCCGTCCTCGGCACGCCGCGCTTCTTCACGGACCGGGGGAATTTCCTGGCCGAGGGGGCGCGGTCGGGCCGGTTCGGGAACTGGAGTTTTTATTTTGGGAAGATGAGGATTGTGGGGTTGTCTGGGGACGCTGGGCGGCGTGTGTTTTTTGAGAGTCGCGATTTGGATTTTACAAAGGGGTGAGTGTTTGACGTCTCGTGTTGTTGGTGTTGGGTGGCAGTGGCAGTGGGAGATGGTTGGGTCGGTGATGACTTCGACTGACACCGTCATCACAGATACGGCGCCCTCTTCAACGCGACCCCGCGCATCGACGTCGCTAAAAACGGTACCCAAGCCGAGGAAGACAGCTTCGGCGCCAAATTCAACCGTAACCTCGTTAAGCTCCTCCGCAAGGAACTCCTCGACACCCGCCTCCCGCTGCTGATCAAAGACACGCGCGACACGATGGACGAGCTCGCCGCCCGCGTCGGCGAGACCTCGACCGTCGCGAACAACATCGCCGGGTCGAAGACGGAGGGCATCAGCGATCCGTTCGAGGACATGTACCGCCTCGTGTTCAAGCTCACGATGCGCATGGTCGGCTGCGACGAGATTGCCGAAGACGAGGACCTGCTGCAGCGCGTGCTGCGGATATTCGAGGGGATCGACGGCGCGAGCACGGCGACGAAGGTCATGTTTCCTTGGATGCCGACGGTGGGGCACCTGAGGAGGGTGTATAGCGGCGCGCAGATGTACATGATTCTGGAGAAGATTATCAAGGAGAGGAAGGATCGCGGGGTTCCCGGGAGCGACGCGCTGCAATATCTGATGGAGAACGGGGATAGTACGGTCGAGATGGTTGCGTTTATCGTCGGCGCGCTGTTTGCGGGGTTAATTAACAGCGGGATCAACGCCGCGTACCTGCTGTGTTTCATGGCGACGGAGGAGACGTGGTATAAGAAGGTGCAGGAGGAGGTGGACGGTGTTATTGCGAGGCATAGGCTGTCCGAGGAGGAGAGCGCCGAGCAGATTCTGGGGAGGCTCGATATGGAGACGTGGGAGGCCGAGTTTCCGATGATTGATTTGGGGTTGAAGGAGACGATTCGGCATACGATTACGGGGTGCGGGTTCCGGTATAACGGGAGCGGGAAAGATGTTGCTATCGGTGGGAGTGGTGAGGTTGTGCCGAATGATGCGTATGTTGTGTATCACTTCGATACCACGCATATGGATCCGGGTTTCTTCCCGGAGCCGTTGCGGTGGGATCCGGGACGGTATTTGCCTGGGCGGGAGGAGGATAAGAAGGATCCGCATGCGTTTATTGGGTGGGGTGCTGGGAGGCATCCGTGTCTCGGGATGAGGGTGAGTCTTTTCTTTCGGTGTTGCATGATTCCCTGATATACCCGGGTATCTCTTCTCAAGATGTCTCGTACGGACATGACTGCTGACACTCTGGAAAAACAGTTTGCGAAGATGGAAATGGCCGTCACGACGGCGCTCTTTGTCGCGAGGTTCGACTATCACCTGGTGGACGCCAAGGGGAACAAAATGGCGAGGGTGCCCGAGGACTCTGTGGATCGGAACAAGCACTCTGCGTCCAAGCCAAGGGAGAAGATGTTTTTGAAGTATTCACTCAGGGCGTAGGAGGTTTCTTGGAGTGTTTGATGTGAGTAGATGATCTAATCTAGATTGCATCGAATGGAATCACGTTTATGAAGTAATGATGGAAGAGAAGTATACTTGGGATTTCTTTTCCCGTGACCATCCAAGATAGTGTCTTTTTCCATGTACAGGGGAGTTTTACTTGTGCGTCGGGTTCCATCTTCAGACGATATTAATTCGACTTCATTGCTCAGAGGAAAAAGATTCGCGACTGGTGGTCCTGGCGCCAAAAAGATCTATGTTTTTTGTAGAATGTAATGCGCTGATGATGTTTCTCTTCATCATCAGGAAAGACTCATATTCGGCCCCCGACTCGGCGATATAAATGCACAGAAAAACCCCCGAACCGGTGGGTCCCCTTCCCCCTCCGAAGACGGGACCGCCGAACGCCGATGCGGAAGGGAATGGAATTCCCCCGCGCCCCGCTGCAGACAGGACGTCTGGAGGGGTCTACACACTCGCACTCTGTGGCGGGCGAGTGAGATTGATGGTTTAGTAAAGTAAGGTGGGCGGCGGATCCTTCATGCCAAATAGGCGCAGCTTGCGTCTCGTGCATGTGCTCGAGAACCTGTAGGTAAGCTGTAACTGCAAAGGTGGGCGCAGTAGCGACTCTGCGACATGCGCAAATCTCATCTCATCTTTTTTTTCCTTTTCTCAACCTCAACCACAGTCATCCTCCAGTCTCACTGAACGTTGTCTACCCCATTCATATTACGCTGCGGATATTCTTCTTCCCTCTTCACATCTCTCACCCTCTCATATCTTCTACCTTATCCAAAGTCATCTTCCGAGTAAACCGAAAGAGAGAGAGTGAGCGAAAGAACTTTGGATCTGGGATCCCCGCATCATCGTCAGCACTTCTCCGATCGCGAATTCAAGATTGGCTCGCGATCCCGTCATCTCGCTCAACCACCACAGTCGGCAAATTCCCTCACTCAGAAACCTCACCCGCACGATACATCCAAGGGCATCAACACCCTCACAAACCCGCCCAAAATGCGCACCCACCCAGCCCCAACAGAATGCGAAGTCATCCAACCCGCCACCCCGCGCGGCCAAATCCTCACCCCCCTAATCCTAATCCACGACGGCGGCGGCACAACTTTCGCCTACCACTGCCTCTCCCAGCTCGCAGGCCGCGCCGTCTTCGGCATCGCGAACCCGCGCTTCCACTCCGGTGTGCCATGGGAAGGCGGCGTACCGGAAATGGCGGCGGCGTACCTGCAAATGATTCGGAATACGGTTACCAAGGGGAGGGAGTTCCCCGCCCAGGCGCCGTACTCATATGTTACGACTGCTGATGGCGGGAGACTGAAGAGGAGGAGGATTTTGTTGGGCGGGTGGAGTCTGGGCGGATTGCTTTCGTTGGAGATTGCGAGGTTGGTTGGCGAAGAGGATCGCGATATTGAGATTGTGGGGTTGCTCTTCGTGGATAGTGTGTATCCCGTCTGGCCCAAGGGTTCGGAGGTCAAGATTGGGAGGTTTGTCGAGGATGAGAAACTGGAGACGGAGGAGCCGAAGAATGTGAGGCTTGCGAAGAGGGCGATGAAGATGGCCGGGCAGGCTGTGAGGGTTTGGAAGATGCCGAGGTGCGGGGCTGCGAGTGAGACGGAGGTGGAGGTTCCCAAGGCCGTTGGCTATGCTGATGCCGATAGTTCCGATGGAGGAGGCGAAAGGGCAGGGCCGACGGCGGATGAAGCGGACGTGGAAAAGGACTTTTACGTTTCCAAGGAGGAGAAGGAGACGGCCGAGGTCATGTGGGAGAGGCCGCCGCGGGCTGTGCTCGTCAAGGCCAAGGAGCATGTTCCGATGCCGATCGAGGGAATCAGTTCCGTGGATGTGTATCGTGGGGATGAGAAGCTTGGGTGGGATGGGTACTGTCCAGGGTTTGTTGAGGAGGTGTTGTTGACGGAGGGGAGTCATTTTGATATGTTTGCTTGGACGAACTGTGATGGGATCACGGAGAAGATTAACGAGGCTTGTCAGATACTGGAAGGGGTTACTATATGAGGTGGAAGTCAAAGGATGGATGTGTGTGCTTTGCGATGCATGGCGTGGATTGGGTTTACTTTGCTGCAAGGACTTTTGGCATACGGAACAAATAGAGCACGGAGAGAGTAGAGCCAGATGTCATTGATTTAATGCTAATCGAGGTTGAGATCGTCTTTCTCATTCAGCTCGAGGATTGAGGCTCACGTAGATGGTCAAATCAAGGGTGATCGCAAGACCGTCGCATTGCACTGCCATGCTTACCTGGTAGTCGAGTGATGCCTGAGCACTGATGATGAACACATCAGAAAGCATAGCTGGATGGTATCTCTCACCGTCTTTATGAGACTGGATTTTGAGAACATTGATTAATTTTTTTGATTGAATCCTTCAAGGTCTTGATTCAGTCTACGAACGCTGACACTGGTGGGCATTCTTGGGATAATGTGGAAGGCTTCGAGGGGAGCTATCATGCCAGGCGGATGCGTCTGGGATGTACCTTCCTCATATCCCAGCGCGAAGGGTATATAACCCCCTTCAGTTCCGTTCCTGCCACCAGCCAGCAGGCGCCTGTCTAGGTCGACGGGTCAGGTCAAACTGGCTGGGTGGTGGAGTGGTGAAAGGCCAACATTCTATACGCTAACCAGCCTACTCGACGACAGGCTTTGCGAGTACCCGAGTTCGAATCCCAGCATGAGCGCCAGAGATGTAGCCACACCGGTGGCGAACTCTTTTTTTATTCTCATCTTGTTTATTTCCTAATGCCCGTGAATGCTAATTTAGACGGGGATCGTTATGATAGTAAGTAGATAGGTACGGACGATCCTGCGGTCCCGGAGCAAAAGGAGGAAGTCGAGGTACTGGAATAAAACTATTACAACAATTTAAAAAGGAGTAATTGCAACCGCCGGGGTTCGAACCCAGGTCCCCAGCTGGTTCCCGGAATGGGAGGCTGGAATGCTAAACCACTGCACCACGGTTGCCTTGGTTGATTGAGAGATACTGAGGGCAGGGGGCAGGCAGCTCTTGGACGGACGCGGGTCTGTTTGAGGGTCACGGGGTGAAGAATTCCATGGTATTCCATTGGTGGTAGCCTGGCAGGTACATGTGGTTTGCTTCCTTCCCTGTCTTGTCCCGTTTGCCTCCCCGGAGGCGGAGGAACTTGAGCGGGCAGGCGCCGGAGAGACCCACCCGGAGCTGAGTCCGGTGTCCCCATGCACCCAGTCCCGGCCCGAGCTTCTTCAACGCTCCGGCTTGGCAACGGGAGGCCACAGATCCAGATATGGTCTGGCCGTCCGTTTGCCTCTCTTCCCTACTCATCTGACTGTCAACCCTTTCTCTTGCCTCCGCCGATACTCAATTTCCACGTTGCGCCTCAGCCGGCACAACCACCCTCTCCTTCTCAACAATGACAACCGGGGTCCTCGTCTCCGCTGCCGCTGCCACTGCTGCCGCCGCTGAAGTCCCCCCAGCCACAGTAGCAGGCGCCGCCACCTCCTGACCACTCCTCGCCCAAGCCTCAAGCGGCGTCGTCAACACCTTCTTCAACGCCCCAAAAGCGTACACGGAAAGATACATGAGCAACAGATTCATCATGCCCCAAAGTGCCACAAACACCTGAAACACGACCCAGGGATTGTCAACGAGGTAATCGCCCAATCCGATCCCCGCCTTCTCCTCAAACTCGGCGAGCGCGGTGGTGAAGTTCTTGCGCGCGCCGTCGTCGTCGGAGAAGAGACCCTCGCCGCCGGCTTCTTTGTCTTCTTTATCGGCTGCGTCGAGCGAGGACGCAAAGACGAAGAAGGCACCCATGAGCACCACCAGAAAGAGGGCGAAGACTACGCGCGCGAGCTGCAGGAGCCAGGTTACGGAGAAGAGGAAGAGGACGAGGGCGCCGTGGGGGGAGCCGTAGTCTGCTGTTGCGAGCCAAGTTGCTAGGTTACCGCCGGCGGCGGCGGGAGCAGGAGCTGCGACGGCATTCCGGGGGTTCGCTTGGGGCTGCTGCTGAAGTGCTGTCGAGGGCGAGGCGGCGACGATGAGCTTTGCGACGAGGAAGGTGAGGAGAGAGGGGAAGGCGATGAGCTGAAGGAGGCCTGGGTTCGAGTCTACGGCTGTGAGGCCGACGCCGCCGAGGATGAGGAGGGTCCATGATCCGAGGATGGAGACGGCGAGGGTGGTGTAGAGCCATGAGATGGCTTGGCGGAAGATGTTGGCCATGGTTTACCGGTTGGGTGCTGTGATGGTGGGAGGATCTACGCGGGGGTACTCCGTATGTCCTGATGGGTGCTGGGGTCCAACGGCAGGCTCGGCGCCTCAGCTAAATTCGCACCAAGGTTTCTGGCCGATTGTCAGAATTGATATGTTCTTTTTCAATAGAGATTCGCTCGCTCGCTTACCTTGGCCTCTGACCTTGACTGTCGAGCTTGAGCAGTCGGAGATGGGTGAGAGGTAAGACGAAGGTTGAAAGTGACAAAAAGGGGCTCCACTTGTCGTTGCCTGGGATTTTCAGGGTCCCAAAAGTGGCTTAGCGCATCCATCGGCAAAGCGAACTTTGTTGCGACCACCATCACACAAGTCTCTTGGTCAACGATCCTTCAAGCCATTTGAAGCCTCCGCGGTGGTCATCGGCAAGATTTTTGCAAGGCCAAGTCTAGGATACCAGGTAAAAATTGATGGCTGGGCTCAGATGTTGACTTTTTGATGTCTTTGCAGTCTGATGTGCTCGGAGTTACCCAGAGCTTGTGTGACGCTTGGCCTCATTCATACTTAGTATGGTGAAGTTTTGCCGACAGAGTCATGATGAGAAGAGTGAAAGGCACCCATCAACATATTTGAATGATTCCACTCCCGCAACAGATAATGCGACTAGTGCGTGGACGCGACAGACAGACACGACTCAAAGAGACTGTGTCCGGGATTGGGATTCCGACGCTGTAGCCTCGAGGACCAGCTCCACGGAAATCCTTCCTTCAACTCCCATGGTATCTGAAGTGTTGTGGCGATAAACCAACCTACTATATCTATCCAAAGAGGTATGGGGTCTAGATTCAACTCGGCCGAGTTTGGGAACACTTGGAATACAATTCCGAAAAGACGAAGCATCATATGGAACGGTCTGCCCATAACCTTGCCTTACGCTATCGCTGCCTATCAGTCTACGGAGTAAGTGGAGTCGATGCTGTTCTGCCCCATCCTAACATCGAGGGGTCCTAAGTGCTTGGATCTTGAGCTATGGAATATCCACAAAGACCTATCTAGCGCAATGAAGGCAGCGCATCAAATGAGTACATCGGAAAGGATCAGCCTGAAAGAGATGTTTCTTCCTCTAAGCCATGGCAAAACGCACTGCAAAATATTTTGTGGCATCACGACGAGACCCAAGGTGGTGCCAGGCTGCATGACCTACTCAGTCAACTTCTCAGCACTTTCGAACATTTCACGTGAACCCACCCAGGTATAAGCTTACTTCCATGACCAATAGATGATGAAGCCAACCGCAGAACAACGTTGCAGGAAATGTCACATTGTCGCCCCATGAGCCTTTCAAAAATGGATCCCAAGGATGTCCTCGGTTAGAACTTGGGGCCACCCAGATCCCGGGATGCCCCCGATGGTGACCCGTTTTCATCTTATCAGATCCGCTCTTGCATGCGGGCCAAGCATCAAAGTTTTTTTTTATCTGATCCGTTGCCAACCGTCCAACTGCACGCGCGCCAAGCCGGCGCGATACGACCTTCAGAGGACCCAACATCCCGCCCGCTCGTTGGTCAGCGCGGGAACCGCTCTAAGAGTCTAGGCTACGCGATGTCGCTTCTAGCAGATGGCAGCGCAAAAAGTCTTTAATACGACGTCTTGTGTCCCACTTGGCGGAACCACATCTAAAGAAGCAGGCTCGTAGCTACCGCATTAGGACACCCATTCGCGGCGAGATATTCGCCCGGTTAGCCAACCATCAGCCAACAAAAAGATGCTGCCCAGTGCCAAGTCGTGACGTGTGGATCGAGTTCGTGCAAACTCGGGGACTGGACACGCTCTTCGAGAGGGACACCAATACGTCCGGCCACGGTCAATGTGAAGTTTTTGCACTCGCTGTGCCGTACGGTCTCGTCTGATGCCGGAACTTTGTCGTGCCCGACAGTCAACTTGAACGGAAATGGGCCCTTGACAAGATGGTCTCGTTCGGCCTGCCAGTTCCGCTGCATGTGGTACCCGTGGTTTGGTAGAGTGGATTTACGTAACATTTCTGCTCGTCCTTTCGAGTTAAGCTTCTTGTCAATGGAAAATCGTTTCCTACTTTGTACTTTGTATTTTGTTCTGCATGATAAGTCGACTACATAACCCGGGGGCCCTTCTTGACATTTCCACTGTTGAGACTTTGTTTCTTCCGTCTCAAGACATACCCGCATCTCAACCCAAATCAGTGTCCCCTGACAAGAGTTGCCCATCATGAGCTCCCCTTTCGTCCAGCAGGCCGCAGCCGAGAGCCAGACTCAGAGCCTCGACGAAAAGACACCAGGCAAGACCACGACGGAGATCACCTCTGACAATGATGTCGAGAGCGAGAAGGAGGAGGCCCAGAATGGTGTCAAGAAGATCCAGGCTATCACCACGGCTTGGACCTGGAGAGCCCTCATCTTTACCTACATCTTGTAAGTGTGATCCAAGATAGCAGGACTTGAATGATCCCCGGACTGACGCAGATGCTCTTCCTAGGATCTGGGTGACGTCTTACACCCATTCAATGCAACAACAGATGAACAGCAACCTCGGACCCTACGTTACTTCATCGTTCCGCCGTCACGGCCTAACCGCCACCACCGGTATCGTCTCAGGCCTGGCTAGCGGTGTCTCGCAGTTGCCCCTCGCCAAGATCCTCAACATCTTTGGTCGCATGGAAGGCTACATGTTGGCCCATCTCCTCTGCTGCTTCGGCCTGATCTTGATGGCTGTCTGCCGCAACGTGGAGACCTACGCCGCTGCACAGGTTCGTCCTCTGATTTCTTGTCTACCCAAGTTGTTACTTACACTATCGAACTAGGTCTTTTGGGCTGTTGGAAGTGGTAGTATTGGCTACATTCACACTGTCCTCATCTCCGACACTACGTCTATCCGGAACCGAATGATTATCTACACGCTCAACTCGACCGCGTACATTGCCAATGCATTCGCCGGACCTATTGTTGCGCAGCTGTTCAACGACCATAGCAGCTTCCGATGGGCGTTTGGCTCTTTTGCTATCATCTTCCCCGCCTTTGGTTCCATGATTACGATTATGTTGTGGTGGAACCTCAGGAAGGCGTACAAGCTGGGCCAAGGACCGGAGTTGAAGCAGAGCGGCCGGTCTCTGAAGGAGTCATTCTTCTTCTACTGCACAGAATTTGATGGTAAGTTCGAGGCAACTCTATTGACGCCGGAACCTCAGCGTGTCCATTAACAACATTCAGTCGTCGGCATGTTCCTCATCATGTTCGGCTTCTCCCTATTCCTGCTGCCGTTCAGCTTGGTCTCATACACAGCCAAGAAGTGGGCTGCCGGCCACATCATTGCCATGATTATCCTTGGAATCTTCTGTCTCGTTGCCTTTGGTTTCTGGGAGAAGAAGTACGCAACTACACCTCTTGTTCCATGGGTCAACCTCAAAGACCGGACTATCCTAGGATCGGCCGCCGTGGCTGGTGTCATCGGGTTGAGTTTCAGGTAATTAACCCAACATCTCTCAAATCAATCCACGGAGACAATCGCTGACGTTCTGAACTAGCTCATGGGATTCTTTCTTCTCATCGTACCTCCAGGTCGTGCACCGCCAGAGCATTAGCCAGGCTGGTTTCATCGGCAACATCTACACGATTGCTTCCTGCACTTGGGGACCCATCGTAGGACTGTAAGCCATGCCACACCTTCTCCCAATGAGCTCCAATGCTAACCCACATTCCTAGTCTCATCCGTCAGACCAACCACTACAAGTGGATCGCCTGCGCCGCCATCCCCGTCGCCTGCCTCTCCACCGGCCTCCTCATCCACTTCCGCACCCCCGACACCTACATCGGCTACATCATCATGTGCCAGATCCTCAAGGCCGTGTCCGCCGGCACAATCATCATCTGCGAGCAGCTCGCCGTCATGTCCGTGGTCAGGCACAACGAAGTCAGCGTGATGCTGGCCCTCATCGGCCTGGCCACCTCGGTCGGTCGGTCCATCGGCCGCGCCATCTCCGGCGCCATATGGACGAATGAGTTCCTCGACTTCTTGATAAAATACCTCCCCGAGGACAATAAGGCTGATGCTGCTACGATTTATGGGGACATTAAGGTTCAGCTTTCGTATGCTTGGGGAACTCCCGCTCGCGCTGGTATTGTGCATGCTTATGGAGATGTTCAGCGGCATATGGTTATTTGCGGTGCGGCTTTCATGCCTCTGGCGCTGGCTTGTGTGTTTTTGTGGAAGAATGTCAATGTTGCGAAGGTGCAACAAACCAAGGGCCAAGTCTTCTAGTTGAGCGCACAGGTATTGCGTGGATGAAATCGAAATAAAGCAGGAATGGCTCCAGATAGTCTTTCTTCCAAATGTCTGTTTACACTACATAAAGCAAAGTAATAGAAGAATATGAATCTCCTCGGAGAACGACGAAGTCAAATTTATCGAAGGAATATTATTGACGTGCCCAAGTGCTGCCTGCACGAGCAGTCCCGATTTATGGGAAAACATCCTTAATTACTACTTATGTATAGTCTCTCGAGAAGAAGATGTATTCAATGAGAATTAGCTATGTTAACAGCATACGCAAATCCGAGGTAAACACGATTCGCCGCTAGAGAAACAAGCCCTTTTGCTTCCCACTTCTCTTTCATTAAATATTCCATAGTAGCCATAGGGTATTTTGCGAGTTCGATTCGACTTTTAGGGTTCCGCATTGTCGTACGACCCCATATTCTGCCGAGAACATTCCGCTTCGGCTTCACTAAAAGGGTTTGGAGTGCCACCGCATTTTTCGGTTGAGCTAACTGAAGAATCTGGGAAAAAGACACCCTATAAGCTGGGCTAGTCAGTGTCTCGGCTTCTTCATCTTGTTCCGAATAAGTGGTGCCATTGCAAACAAGAATCTCCACTTCGGCATCTGCCCCAGACTGAAGAAAGCTTTCGACAATTGAAAACATATCGTTCAAGCGCTCCACACTCTCTCTGTTCCTGACTTTCCAAACAGGAGTTCGAGACTCGTCAGCGCAAAAGACGCTCAGAAAACTTGCGACACGGTACAAGAAGGCCTCCCAAACAGATACAAAGCATCTTTCGCCCTTCAGAGACGATTTTAGACCACAAGTTATGACAAGCTCATTCGGATGCCAGCCCTCTTGAAGCAAGAAATCTACCAAGGCTGGAACAGACGAGTACGCGGCCGTGATCAGAAGGTTGACATTAGATGTATCAACAATAGTCGGATTGTCCATACTCGCCACAGTCGTCTTGACGTACTGAACCATGCCATAAGTCGCAGCGAAGTGCAGAAACGAAAAGGGTTCCCACACCGTTGGACCCATTTCCTCTTGTTGCTTAGACTTGGGAATTAGAATGTTTTGTGATAACAAAGGTGGGGAGTGTTGTTGATTGCCGCAGACAACAACAGCCAATTCCTGAACCAGTACAGTAAAAAAATCTAGACGCTGAATTGGAGAGAACTGAAAAGAGATGAAAAAGTCTAACACCTTGAAGTAACAACCAGGAAAAGCATGTTCCGACAAATGGAGATGCGGTTCGGGACAATGTCTAATCTCTGCTATCAGAAGCTCGGCCTTTACTGCTGCCTCTTGCTCGGCTGTTATGAGCGGCCGTTGAACTAGGCTTGGCAACCATTCTTTCGCAAGAAAGTCTCTGACGGTCCGATGGAAAAAGCAAAAGTAGGTTTGGTAGTAGGACCCACAGCCGTGTTTGGTACTTATGAGGTATGCCAAATGTTCACTTGCCTCCATCTCAACCAAGCCCCTTGTCAAGGTGTGCAACTGGCTTCGTGCTTTCCTGTGCTCTGTTTCAATCCGAGTCTCGGTGTACTTGTCATGATTTGAGCGCCTGGGTAGACCCATTAGCGATCGCAAAGTACGAGATTCGTCCAGCCACGAGAGCGCCAGGGCGTTGAGACGGATTCTGGGCTCGCTTGCTAACAGCTGCAAGAGAATCGTCGACCGCAATCTCACGGATGGAGATGGATCAATGCTGTCAAGCATCTGATGAAAAAGTTGATTGAGACTTTTGGGACACTCTTCCAGCCTCTTTTGGATAGAAAACTCGTCTTCGTGTTCTAGAGCCGCATTCAACAAAGCCCTGACGACGAGGCTTGCCCAGAGAAACACACCGTCGGCGCGTTCCACAATTTTGTGAATCATACTCAGACATACCGCTTGACCTTTTTCGAAAGTAGGCTCGCTCAGATACTTTCCAATCTGATCCTCGGCAAAGGCGTGTATGTCGGCTTTGGTCAACTTATGAAGCTCAAAGAATGTCTTGCTGGCGCCAAAGATGTCGAGGGTAACGGTCGATGGCCGGGCTGAGCAAATTATCTTGACATTATCTTTCCGTGACCATTTTCTTAGCATCTCTGCAAGATGTTTCTGATCAAGAGGATCTCCCTCATATTCGTCTAGCCCATCAATGAAGTAACAGAAGAGATAGCTAGCGGCGTTCTCTAATGACTGCAAACGACTGAAGGCCGCCTCTAACTCTGAGAGTGATATGGCTGCTGAAAGAGGGGAGAAGCCTATCCCAGTAAGAGTTGGAATGACCGTTTCAAGTAGTTCAGGGCACTGCCTTAAAGTATGGAAGAGAACAGCGCGGTAGAATCCCTCAAGAGACTTCTGAAGAGGATCGCCAGAGCTCCAGAAGAATGTGTTGACGATCACAAGCTTTCGTTTGCTGGCGCAATCCACCAGCGTTTCTCTTACGCTGGAGTGATGGCTAAGGAATTTCATGAGCGTTGACTTTCCACTGCCCGCTTTCCCGCAGACGAAGAAAACCTCTCCTTCATCTGCCAAGAAGGAATGAAGGCTCTGAGACATAGCCTCCCGATTTTGAGTCTCTTCAAGTAGCTCCTTCTCCAAAGCTATGCGATGGTGATCTACTAGCTCTTCTTCTTCTGATTTGGGCGAGGAAGAAAAGGAAGATCGTCGAGACTCTCTCGGAGAATTTGAGCCGTTTGTGTCGATTGATTCTGAAGTGGTGGATGGCGGGAAACCATCGACTGTCCAAGCAAAAGTGTTTGATACAGCATCGGAGACGCTGTTCTCTCTTTGAAAAATCGCGTCGAAGTACAAACTGTCAAGTATCTTATTTTCTGCCTCGAGAGTACTGGCACACGATTTGAAATCATGGAGAAGTCTTGCGAGATCTCTGAGATCATTGCCCACAATCGCATGGTACTGAATGTGGTGTGTAGATGGTTCATTGGCTGTATGTGTCTTGTGGGAGGCTTCTCCGGAAAATTCGTCTTGGTCAAGTTCGTTGACAGGAGGCGAGAGTGTCTTTATGAAGTCACGATCGTTTGAAACTTGCTGATCCCACAACGGTCTCGAGCTAGTAGTTCCCATACGCTCTAGTACTTCGGAGAGTTGATTGTGTAGTGCATCCAACTTTGCAGCGTGCTCGTTTTCAAGTCGACTGCTATCGTCTCGTATTCGCTCGAGTTGAGCCTTGATGGGCGATTGGTCTCGGCTGCAAAATGGTCAGTCATGCATCTTTCTAGCTGGGTTCCTGAGCTAACTCACTAAATATTGAGTGTCAAGTGAAGAATAATCTGTTGACGGTACTGATCCAGTCTTTTCTCAATCGAAGCGACCTCTTTCTGTTTGCGCGCACCGGCAATCGCGGCCTTGAAACTCTGGAACAACCTTTTCTCGCGCCTCTCTAGCCCTGCAAGAAGCTTCAAGAGATCGTCTGACAAGGTTCGGCACTGCTCTGACAACTTTGCCAACTCCGCATCATGTCCTCTGGAGACTGGACTCAACTCGGCTGCAGCCTTTTCGAGGTCGATGATGACATTGCCTACGTGTATGTTTTCGGCTGTGGCACCCGTCGCGGATTCGTAAATTTCGTAAGTTCTTTTGGCTACCTTGTAACAAATGTCGATGAAAGTCAGGATACTTGAAGCTAGGCCAGCAGCCTCCATGATTAAGTCGCCCCGTTGAGGGTTCCTGCACCAGGACTAAGGAGGGGTTCCGGGAATGGAGATGTCTGGGTGAACTTGGCAAATATTGAGGGGGTTGAACAATCAGGCTGCAGTACTGAGCCTGTGTTCTTATGCAGCTTGCGGCGTTGGCCAATACATCTGCCCCTCAGGTAGTTTGAAGCGACCCTATCAGAGAGATTCTACTATCCTGAACCAATAGCTGCTACCGCACTTTTTCTTTGAGTGGTCGTACGTTTCGACCTCGAGGCGCGGACGCCTTTGAAAGCTTTCTTAATGCCACAAATGTTCTCATACCATTGATGGAACGACCACCACCGCCATTGCCGCTTCCATCAACGGCTCCATCTCTACTGTCTCCTCTGGCGAGCTTAACGCACCAACGGTCCTTCTGCCAAAACCACATATCCCAGTCTATCGGTGTGTGTATAGTGATGAATGCCGTGATACGTCGAGGTGACCGTGATTAAGGGAGTGAGGGCGTCGGGGAGGCATATTGCCCTGGTACGGCATGCATCTTACGGGGGTTCTCAGAAGCGTGGCACTTTCACTCCTCGGGGCCAAAATCGAGGCGCCATCGAAGACCTCAAATTTCTGTGTGATACAAATTGGGAAGAGCAGCAAATTATCGATTGTCATTGCAGATTTCGTCGCAACATATCGTGCTGTTCCAATGCGTGGTGTTTTCAAGTTTGCTTTCGTACGCAAGAGCCCGGTCCCCAAGATGAAATTGGCTTATAAAATGTGACACTATTGCTAATGCTTCGTCACATGCGACTTGACACGGAAATGCATTATAGCATGTCGAGGTCGTGTAATCGCAAGTCATCTCTGGAGCCCCCGGATACCTCGCTCGGTAAACGTAACGAAAAGCAAGTGAATATTATTGGAAATTAAGTGATTCTAGGCTTTCTATAGCAATACAGAGAAGGCTCAAACATCACCTACCTTTTCCGGCAAGCAATACTCAGACTTTGTTGGGCCGCCGTCCGTCTCCTCCGCTTTTTTCAATACTTCGGCATCTGCCCTCTCGCGCTCGGCGCGACGTTGATCTTTGACTTGGCTCCTCATGCCCTCCACCTTCTTTTCAAGTCTTTTCAGCATCTTATCGCTCGTTGTCCAGTCTTTCTTCCACTCTCCAATCTTGAGATAGAGTGCATAGAAGCCGAAAGTGACAAGAATCCATGTTTCTGACAGCTTGTATGCAGACCAGAAAATTGTGCGCGGGTAAGTCCAAAAGGCGAAGACAATGGAGACAAAAATAACGCTTGCGGATATTGGGACTAGAGATGTTTGTCAGTGCACTGCGAGAAGTCGACAGCAATGGCTGGGATTTCGATTGCTTACACATCCAACTCGCCTGGTCTTCAAAAGACATGTTGGTGTCGCCAATGTCTCTATTGTTCATGCCGAACACACTCGACATGAACGATAGCGGTAGCTTCGCATCAATGTTAGCTTCCAAAATCGCAATGCAGAAAGGGGAAATGGAGAAATGAGAGGGCAATGAACGAAAGCAAGAAGCTTAACGTACAAATATGATGGTAACAATCGTAAAGATCATGACGGATCTTCCTTGGCGAACGCTTTCGTCTGCTTGCCTGACTGACTGCCATGCCTGTAGAATGCTAGCCTGCTGCTGTTTCAGGTCAAGAAGGTCTTTGATCTGGATATTCTCGGTTAGCGTGTGTGTAAACCTAGATATTGAAAGAAGAACCCACGCCTTGCGATGTAGTCTCAGCGCTTTTGCGCAGGCTTTCGAGCTCGTTCATTCGGTCGTCCACATCTGATATGAGATCGTATGCTTGTTTGCGGAACCAAGTAAACTCATCCTTCTCGCGTTCCTCTTGTTTCCTAGCCTCTTCCGTAGACCTAATGTCTTCGCCGCTTCGCGACATTGACCGGGAACGAAAGTAGTCCCGATTGCCATCCGGGCTGAGTGTCTCGTCCCGCCATTTACCACTCGGGTCGTAGATATTTTCAACGTGCTTCACGAACCGCTTGATGACTTCCCTTTGTTTCCCATTGACATGTATCATGATGTCTAGTTCATCGATAATGTCTTTTATTTCTCGCTGCAGCTTGCCCTCAGGGTTGATGTTGAGAAGCGGAACGTGGAGATGGGATGTGTCCTCAAAGGCTGACTTGGAGTGGTAAACCTTGGAGGCTTGCTCAGTCCAGTGCCATAAATGCTGGAAAGAGACTGTTTGTTTGTTTTGCTATGTACTAGTTAGTTCTAGTTGACGTGGTTGCAGCCAATAAGTAAGCCTACCAGAGTGCCGATGGACTCTGCGAATATGTCCATGACCTGCGGGTGTCGATCCTAAGCAATTTTTTAGCGGACTCTGCAAGAAGTACAAGAGGTCATTGCAGTACTCACTGGTGTTTTTGTTCTGTCGAAGAACGTGTTCGAGCACTCATCGAGAATGATGAGTGCCACATCAAAGACAGATCGAATCTGGTTCTTGCGAGCGTGCTTGATACGGGTGCGTATCGACTTGTGTACCCCCGAGGGATCTGACTTGTTTGCGCCATATCTTTTCGGGAAACTGGTGATGATCGTCCGCTTGTCCAAGATCCACATCCACAGCTGGTCGACCATGACGATCCTGGACACCTTGCGTATCTCGTCCCTGCAGTGATCGCAGCCGTCCTCGTCGGTCTTCGTCCAGTGACCATCCCATTTGTAACGGCCAAAGTTGCTTTCAGATGAGTCCGGAACATCACAGTTAGTGCTCTGCTCGGCGGTTGAGGGAGCATCGGAGCGCCAAAACGGTTTCTTGTCTTTACAAGACAGTGCAGGATCTTCACGGCGTTCTCGAAATCTATGGATGTTCCTCTCATCCATGGTTGTACCGCGATAAACAACTTGGTCTCTGTCTCTCGCTTTTGTTGTCTTCAGAGTCCAGTAGTAAGACTGGTCGAGGGTGCGCCGAGGATGTAGAGGTGGATCGTGGTGAAGGTACTTCTCAACCAGGCGTTGATCTCTATACATGGACATTGCCTCATACAGTCTAGCGGAGTCCAAAAGAAATTGACCTAGCTTGTTCTCAATCTGCAACCTCCCATGGTCGGAGCACTTCAGCTTGGGAACAGACCATAGGTTGTGGCCATCACTGCCGTATTCATGTTCAACAAGCCCGCCCGTTGCTAATCCACTAGCAACGTCGACCATCTCGTGCTTGACGTTAGGTTTTCCGCGTGCATTCTTCTCCCAAGCTTTGAGGATGCTTCTCTTATGTATTGGAGAAACTTTATCGTGGTGCCTAATACGGCAAAGATCGGGCTCGAGCAAGTTTCGTACTTGCTTGTCGTTGGTAGTGGTAGGCTTGTAAGTACGTTCCCTTACTCTCTGTTCCCGGGCTTTATTGCGCTGCGTCTCATGTTCTTCTCGATTTCTGTCTGACTCCTTGTCAATTATTTTAGCCATCTTGTCACGCTTACGATCTTCCTCCCAGTGTAAGTAGGGCATCTATCAGAATATGACGTCGATTAGTTCGGAACTTCAGAAAACAGATGCTGCATTGAACATTTCTCGACTTCACAAGCACGCAACTCACAAATAGCACAAGGTTATCAGGGTTGTCTTCCACCTCCCAGATCCCTATTTCAAACCATCAGTATAAGTCTAAAACCTTTTTAACGAGATGAGACAATCTTAGATTGCGAAATTAAGTGGCTTACTCGACGAGATACGCTCGCAAATAGCACGCATATGTCTAGCATGTACCAATGTGCGCCTGCCACCATGCTGTTGACCTCTCCAATATTCAGGACGTAAGATCATACGGCTATGCGTTTTCAACGGGTTTCGGTAAATTCCGTCGGACAGTGGACACTCCTCGTTGAAGTAACGTGCGATGGCTTCCTGCAACGGGATGAGCCCAGTGAGCTAAATGGGGAGCTTAAATCGCGAAATACCTCAAGCCACTATCAAATCACATTAGAATGAAACTTTCGTTTGAACGCGATGATTTCTCTCACCTGCATGTTGTTATGCGGTATATGGAAGTACCGCACTCTTCCATCCTTGTTTGGTCGATCTCGAGATAGGATTACGTCCTGAGGCTCTGGCCTTTCCGGTGCTGGGTCGAGAAGGTTTTGCAAAGTCAGTCTCTGATCAGGAAACTTCCCTTTGAAACGGTAATCGGTGAGGTTCTCGGTCAACGGCTCCAGATATCTCTCCTGTTCTGTGTAAGGCTCGAGATAGGAGGCGGATTGCAGTGTCCCAGAGCGCAAGCGACTGGGCCCGGTCGGACGTTCCTTCGGCTTGTGGTCTGTAGCTTCGAATTGAACTGTAGCTTCACTCGGCGCTCTAGCTGCCCGAGGTCGAGGAGCTCGCCGAGGAGAAGGAGGAAGAGATGGGAGCTGTGAGGGAAGGGTGAAATTGACCGACGTTGGGGAGATGTTGATTGGCGTGTGCGAGTCGAGCTTTTTGAGTGACTCTCCAGGTTTCAAAATCTTCCACTGAATGAGGTACCCGTTCATATCTCGTTCCAGCTCGTACGAGGGTGTGTCTTCATCTTCTTCAAAGGCATAATCGACATCGGTATGACCATCCCGGATGATCTTGCGAGCCTCTTCCCTCTCAGGCGCCAATCTGAGCTGGCCATTGCTTACTAAACTCGGACTATTTGTGACATGCTCGTCCTCAACATCGCTACTCTGTGCCGATGATGTTTTGTGTCGTTTCCAGTCTTGGATGATCTCGATACCCTTCTTGTAACTGTCTGAATTCTTCCATTCCTCGTGACTGTGAGATACAAGATGAACCAGGTCGCACTGAGGGTGTTGATTCGCCGGGTCCTCTACGTCTTTGTTTGGAGGTTCATCTTTGCATTGGGGACATCTCACCTCCGAGAGTGCTTTCCGAAGGATGTCCGTTCGCTTGTATTGCGCTTCAATGCTCACAGCGAGACTCTTGATTCTAGCTTCAACCTTTTCTTTCGCAGTCTTTAGCCGTTCGTCCTCACTGATGGTAGGTTTTCGTTGCTGCAGCCTCTCAGCCTCGATTTGAATCTCGTGATCCCAGAGATCCGAGTTTTTCTCTCGGCTCAGATAGTTGACTCGATCAGCGATCTCGATGCAACCAAAATAGTGAGCAGCGTGGTCTCGAATGGTTCCGTGGCTCCCTTCAGCTGGGCCATGAGGCTCTGCTGATAGGCATGTTGGAGAGCTGCCATGATCTCCCATGGTAGCTCTTCAAGGTAGTGAAAGACAAGTTGTAGAACGGATCGAGACAAAAGACAAGGTTTTCTTGGGATGAAGGTGGTTTATGGTAGCCAAGCAGCCAATTTTTCGATGACCCCCCGCTTCCTGGCCAAGGCGAGCACTGTGGTTTAAAGGGCTCAACGAAGATGGGGGCCAAAACGAGGCTCGCGCCTGCGTCGCAGCCATTCCATTTACTTATCCACATTGGTCAATGGGGTGGTCAGATCGAAGACATGGAGGTCGGTCGCCTACAGCATGGACCAATCAAGGAGCTGTTCACCTGCTCAGCTTCCAACCGAATTAGTCGAGTGAGCGTATCGGTGGCTGCATATTGACGATGACCGGCGTTGGAACAAGGCAAGGGGGTCACTTTTGAGCCCAGTAGAACGTAAGTAACAAAAGTAATGGCACGACACGTAAAAGGTAAGCGATCGAGTAAAAGCATCCCGATGAATCGTTGCCAGAATTCATCAATAAGTACCTTAGTCCTTGACGATGCAAGTGTCGACTACAACGGACCCAGGTTTGCCCAAGTAAACTTAACAAGAGGGAAAGAACAAAATGGGACTCTGCTTCGCATGCCCTCAGAAAATTCCTCTGAGCGACTTATCTGTCTGCATGTGTGGTGCAGGCGCGCAGGGGATTGTAGTTGAGAAGCAATATTCCCGGTCAAGGCGCTGCGACACGAGGTCAGCCGCAGCGGCAATCGCCCAAGATGGACTTATGTCCGTAGGCGAAATGCAGGTCATAGATCAAGAACCTACAGATCCCAACGATGTACTTTTGTTTCGTTCAGCTGCAGCCTGATCGCACAGGATCATCTCGGGGTCACAGAATACACTGATTAGCAGTTTTTAACAGCATTAAGTAGATGCTCAAATAGTGTGCGTATTCGATATGTAATTGTATGAATTTTATTCGTGCCCCTTAAGTTTAAAGGGGCGGAGGCGCAGACGTCACCGGTTCCACAGGAATCGAGATACGTTTATCATAGTAAGCGCACTGCTGTCCTTAGCTATGAGACTATCATTTCCCAAGGTTGCATGTTGCTGGATCGGAAGAAATAGTACTGGAAGAACATCAGAGGACTGACCTGAGTTTTTTGCTTGTATTGAAAGTCGTAGCCTGCTGTCTGGCTATTGTTACCGTATCTGAATGCTCGTTGAGGCGAAGACCACATCATCATCAGACATCTTCCCAAGATTTGAAAGAGAAAGTAGCAACATCCCGGCACTTAAATAGAGCTAGCCATAACAAAGTTGATGCGCATCTGATCTATGTTACCTGCGGCTTCACGTTCGTCTGTCGAAGCAGCTTGAAATTCCGCAACAACATGCGAATCAGTGAAACTTCCTCTGAGTCTCTCCAGATCATTGAATGAAACAGGTTCGAAGTAATATTGACTCAAAGTCGCGGTATCCTAATTTGACACCTGATCGTGCTAGGTGTGTCAAACCTACAAAGCAACCTTTAAACAATTTGTCGTCGAAGTCAATTTGCCAACATCGAGATGGAAAGTGGGCGACGAGGTCATCAACGCTACCACCTCGTCTTGGAAACCTGACCAAACTCAAGCTGCCTTTGATATCAAAGTTGGTCTGGGTGAAAAGAACATTGACGGAGTTTTGCAGTAATATGCTGTCTTTGATGATGATGCATAGACGCCTCTGCCCTCTCACCTATCCTTTGAGGAAGCTGCAGCTTTCAGCGGCCCGTATGTATACGCTTGGAACGCGCTTTTCGGAGGCCCTCAACAACTGAAAAGGAGAGACACTGTGGTGGTTCAGGGTACTGGTGGTGTGAGTGTTGCTGGGATACAGGTAAGTTGTGCTATACAACATAGTAACATACTTTTGACTTGGTCTTACGATCATTAGATCGCCGTCGCTGCTGGGGCTGATGTCATCGCCTTCTCAACCTCAGAGGAGAAACTCGAACTTCTTCGGAAACTTGGTGCTAAGCATGCCATCAATTACAAGAACAATCCCAACTGAAGTCGAGAGGTTCTCGACTTGACCGGTGGTCGTGGTGCTGACCAAGTCCTTGACGTTGTCGGTGCTTCGACCATTGTAGAGTCGTTACGTGCACTACGACAGGATGGCCTGGTACCAGCTATTGGCTTCATGTCTGACTCTGAGAAACACGATCTGATTCCGGAACTTATGTTCGGTGCCAAGATGAGTAAGATAATTTCCAACACCCAGCTTCTGTATCTGACATTCCATCTTAGTAGGCTTGATGTACGGCAGCCTGGTTATGCTCCAGGTTCTCAGTGCCTTTGTTGAGACACACAAGATCAAACCAATTATAGCGGAAGTTTTCGAGTGGCATGATGCTGAGCTGGCTTATAAAGCCATGCTTGCTCAAGAATTTATTGGGAAGATTGTGGTCAGGGTCGATTCATAGCATTCATATGCATTAATATGCGATAGCTCACATCTAGTTGCTTGGGTCTCTATTTTTTAATTCCATACAAATAGTTAGAAGGCCGACAGAGGATACCAGGACATTTGAGGCCAAGAGCGCATCGAGGAAGTTGATGCCAAAGGCGAATTGACTGAATTTAAGAGTATCAATGAATATCGAGGTTTCAGGAGTTGTTGACCTCCCACGAGCCCTTCCACATTCAGCTAGTGCTTAGGCCAGCCACAGCACAAAGGCAATGCCTGGAATGAGCTCAGTGTCAGCCCACGGAACAAGAATGCCGGCAGGATCTCGATAAGAGCCAAATGACGTCGTAGATTCACAACGTCTTTGCGTCTGTTCCTTAGACAGATCTTAGACGCCATCAACCATTATCTTTTTAAAGGCCTTGGCAACCCCAGTCTTGGTATCGGTCATTATAGGAGTAGTATTCGGTTTCACAGCAATCGTCTTATTATGGCACCTATAAACATCTTGATCGTAGGCTGCAGTATTGCCGGGCCAACACTAGCCACATTCTTGCTGATGTCGCCGGCGCCTGCGTCTGAGAAGCCGCGCATCACCATCTTGGAGAGAGCGCCTGTCTTTCGCCCTCAAGGCCAGAACATTGACGTTCGAGGCGCTGGGGTGACCATCATCCGCAAGCTTGGACTCGAATCAGCTATCCGGGCAGCTACCACTGGCGAAGAAGGAGTGCAGTTGGTCGACAAGGAGAATCGAGTATGGGCAGCTTTTGGAGCGGATAAGAGCGGAAAGACGCAAACACCGACAAGTGATATCGAGATCTTGAGAGGACGGTTGGCACAGTTGCTACTCGAACAGAGCCAGAAAGTCAATGACGAAATTCAGGCTGGCGGCGGCGCCGGAATCGAGTACATCTTTGGCGATTCTCTTGATGACCTAGAGCAGGATGGAGACAAGGTACACGTCCACTTTGCCAAGAGCGGCGAAAGACGGACCTTTGACCTGGTAGTTGGAGCAGATGGTGTGCAAAGTCGAACACGCATTCTGACTTGGGGTGAGGCTGGCGAGGAAGACAGGAGAAGAAGGCTCGGGATGTATGGGGGCTTCTTCAGTATGCCTCGTGGTCCGACTGACTCGGCATGGCGTCGCTGGTTTCATGCTCCTGGTCGACGTGGCATCATGATCCGTCCATCTGGTGTGGAAGATAGAACAACGGTCTTCATGGCCGTTGTGAATGAGAAAGATGAACGGCTACGGGCTGTTGCTGAGCGAAAAGGCGGAAGTACGGATGCTCAAAAAGCCATCCTTCGAGAGTACTTTGAGGGACTTGGCTGGGAAACTGATCGCGTCATCAAGGAGATGATCGCCACGGACGACTTCTATTACGATACTATCTGTCAGATCAAGATGGATAAATGGAGCAAAGGGAGGGTTGTCCTCCTGGGTGATGCTGGGTATTGCGCTTCTCCTCTATCTGGGATGGGAACAACTTTGGCAATGAGCGGCGCTTACAATCTTGCGGGCGCGATTCTACAACATCCGAATGATCTCGAGACTGCCTTTGGCGACTATGAAGAGAAAATGCGTCCTACTGTTGCTCGCGCGCAAAAGCTGGCACCCGGCATGCCTCACTCGCTCCATCCCGAGACGGTCTGGGGAGTTTGGCTATTGAACACGATCATGTTTGTTCTCTACTGGTCAGGGCTGTTTTCCTTCGTCGCGAGATTCGCTGGACCACCGGCGAACAATGTCCCGGTCGAAGAGTACGGGTTCAAGACGCTGCCGATTTATGAAGACTACTAGAGCCGTCGGGAGATCGACATAAGTGTATGATAGATCCACCGCTCATTTCTTTAGAAAAGCCCCACTACTTCAAAAGATTAAATGCTTCAAAAAAAAAAACCCATTGAATGCAGGCTCAACATCAATCGGTCGACGATCAATCAATGCGTTTCCCCCGAGGCAAGAAACTTTTTTGCGGTACCAGGGCAAGGTTTTCTATGCTGATCAACTTAACGATTCAACGAGTCAACTACCCCACGAATGGATTAACATGCGCTGAGTATCATGCTTTAACCGTTGACCGTGATGCCTTCTCACGAGGTCCAATTCTGTATTTTCTCAATAAGGGTATGGCCGCCTACTCCCGATCGACCGCGAAATACAGCGCGCCAGGCAGCGAAAGCCTATGTAGCGGAGCTCTGACTAAAGAACTGAAGATTCTGAACTAGTTTGCTCGGACGAAAGCTTCAGAGTGGCTATTGACAGCGTATAAATAGACTTTGGACCCATTACTTACCACATTGGGGTATTGTATCCAGCCGACAGCCCGCGGACTTGGACGGGTCGCGCGGCCCCCGAAACGGCGCGCGAGAAAAGAAATAACGATAAAAAACGAAACATGTGCAAATGCTTCCTAGTTGGGTGAAGGCGCATTGTCAGCAGCTTTCTCATATTTCGGGACCCGACCTCGCCTCTGCCGACAACAAATTCAAGTTCTCACAATCTTTGTTGTACACTCATCGGCTCCCGCGTCGTCCGCTTGCACACCGAGGACTCGCCTACGAGATCGACGAGTGGTAGCCCCCAAAGGACCCTTGCCACAGGCCTATCGCTTAGCGGAGGGAGAGACATGGACGACAGCCAGCTGGACGCCAGCGGCCATGAGGATGGGCCTGACGATGCGCCAGAAGAAGCGCCTGAGCCGTCTTCAGCGAATCCTCAGATTGCTATTCGCAGGGCTGTAAGTGACGCAGATGGCCTTTGAAGATTTATATTGAACTGACTGGAATAATTAGTGTGACGCTTGCCGTGCTCGTAAGGTGAGTTGGTTTGCTTGTTAAGAGCCATTTACACCGTTTACTTGTCCCTGCCGCCCGGAGTTAGCGACGACGAGGCTTCGCAACTATCTAATCTTGGCGCAATGGGGTTTTAAACGAAGCAGACACTGACCTGGATATAGATCCGCTGCAATAGAGAATCGCCTTGTTCATATTGCACGCACGCCAAGATCGAGTGTACACATGCCGACAACAAGCCCAAGGAAAAACGGACCAGAATTCTCATCACCCCACAATAGTAAGCATGCATAGCACCGAACACAGTATTCGCCTTTTATCAGCCCATCACGATGTGCTATCCTTACACTAGGCTAAAGCTTCAAATAGCTTGTCGTGCAGTCTTAACTAACATGTTCGACTTAGTGAGCGCAAAATTGATCAGATTGACCGTCGGCTCGAGACGGTCATCCGCCTCCTGCAGGACATGAAAGTCAATCCATCTTCTAATAGTAATACAAGTCGAGCCGAGCTACTCAATTTCGCAATGGCTACAGCCGCCACGCCTCAAGTCGAAGGCCCACCATGCTCAGCTCAACGCGTCTCGTCTACTTCAACGCCTGCCACTACGGCAAGCCACACCCTACAATCAGACGAAGGCGAAGGCGGCATTGTTGAGGGCGACTCTTCTCTTGCGGCGCATTCTGTGTTTGCTACCGAGTTTTTGCAAAAGGTCGTGAGCACAGAGTCACTGCAGGACTCAAGTCTAGATCTTGGCGAGACTCTAGATGCATTATCACAAATCGTCAATGCGTTGAAGCAACCGGCCGCCGCGGGGGAGATGACATATCCTCACGCGAAGCCATTTACGCGGGTTCGTGCCCAAGGAATTGAGTTACCGCCTATAGAAAAGGCTGTGCACACTATTAGAATCGCAAAGAGTAAGCACGGTAGAAAAGACCTGTGAACACTCGGTTTCTCCTGCTAACCGGACGATGTTGTCTTAGGTCAACGCCTCACGGGCATGGCCTGGATATACGATTTTCTGCCTTCCCGTCGGTTCCCGGATCTTTGCCTTAATGTCTACTTTTCAGACAACTACTCGGAATATGATTACATCACTGTGAACGGAGGCCTCTATTCGCTGTTCACGGACTACGCCGCGCAAGTATCAGTTGATGAACAGAAAGAGTACTTCGAATACGCCAAGTAAGTACAACTGATGAAAACTTCGTCTGAAAGTCGACACAGAACTGATTATTTACAGGATTTGCCGCGTGAATCTGGAAACGTGTTTAGCGAATCTTCCGCTCCATCTACCGGCATCTTCCGATGTAATTGTCGCGCTTCTTTTCGGGGTAAGTCTCGTCTTCGACATCATCGAGCGATTGATTGGAGCTAACTCCCTTGCAGACTTTCCATGCTGTTGAAATCTCAAAACCTACGCTCGCTTGGACACTGTCTTCCAAAGCATCAGAACTATGTCAAACGCTTGGATATCATCGAGCAGAGTCTCTTAAGAACACAAAAGATGATGGTAAGCCCACTGTTCATGGGATGCACTGGCATCAGTTCCTCTTCTGGAACGTCTATTACATCGACAAGAGTCTTTCGCTTCGCCTGGGCAGAGCATCGACAATTCCGGACTGGCACATCACCATGCCTCTACCATCATTGAAAGAGCCGGTTGCAAGTCCGATACTACCATATTTAGTATTGTGGATTCGAACAGCGAAGTGTCAGGGTCAAATCTATGAGCTGCTTTACAGCCCCGACTCGATGATCCAACCGTATCATGTTCGCCAGACGCGGGTGCATGAACTAGTCTCCCTTCTCCACGACATCGATCAGAAGACGCAGGAAACCACTGTAAGTCCGAGGTAATTTTTGGGTCCGGGATACCTTGACTTACGGAATGAAGGCCAATTATCAGGCATTTGCCAAAGATGGGGTAGAGGAGCACTTTGCAGAGTTCTACCTGTCTTCAGATTACGTTCTGCGGCTCTCACTTCTTACTCTAGTTTACCGGGCTGCCCCAAGAGTTGAAGGGTCGCCAACGACGTTCAGTCCTGAATGTATCAAGGCTGCACGAGCAGCACTGGAAAAGCACCAAGAATGCGTTGCCATCATGCGCAAGTCCCACGATGTTTACTTCGCAACCTACATTCACTGGTCAGTCAAACTAACACTCATATGATGTACCGCTTTCTAACACAAACTTTTCTATATCCAGGACTGTGCTTTTCGCACCATTCATCCCCTTCATCGTTCTTTTCTGTCAGGTAATTGAGACCCAAGACAAGGAAGACCTGGCACGACTGCATTCTTTCGTGGTGTTCTTGCAAGAGACATCAAAGATGTCCGACGCAGCGGCCAAGATGTGCCGCCTCTTCCAAGTCCTCTACAGCGTCGCGCTTCGTTTCGTTGAGTTCCGCGCCTCAACGCCTCAGTCGCGACAGACGCAGGCCAGCGCCGAGATGGACGCTTACTTGGCAGCCTTGGGATTCCCACCAAAAGGGGTCGAAGGGGGTCAGCATCCGCAGCAGCAGCAACCCACCGCGTTTGCCCAGATGACAAGCACTGCGCCAGACGTGGTCCCAACGTCTGGAATCGCGGGCGTCGGAATCGATGCCATGGACGAGAGCTTGAGGCCCGGTAACCCAATGATGTGGATGACGAATGCCGCTCAATTGGAAGACTTCTTCTACACTAATACGGCGATGATGGACCTATTACAAGAGCCCGGATTCGAAGCAACTCAACAGCACTAGAAGCTCGAATCACGCCGGAAAGGTAAAGCGAAGGCTGTCCGACATGACTCTGAGCGATACAACCTCAGGACTAGCCCCTACTCACTTGAGTACGAGAGAAGCGCCGAGAGAGCGCAGGGTCGAGGCTTAGAGAAGGGGAAGAGAAGGGCACAAAGTGATAGAAGGCAATGATTGAGCCCATTAGTCTGGTCGCATGTTGGGCCACACAAAACCTTTCGTGGAGAGGTCGTGTCACTTAGAGACCGTCCCGCTGTGAGGAGGCGGCCGTAGAAGCCAAGTCTGCACGTGATTCTCCCCTCAATTTTGAATATTTATTGCCTCACTTGTGACTAGCTCCAACATCAAGAACACAATCTCGAGCTCCCGTCAAAGAAGAAACCGAGCGTGCGACTGATTTCGCACTAAATTCCAATATCATCAGAATATCATGGAGTTCGAGTCTGAGTCTAAGCCTGTCCTTCTGAGTGCGCTTCTTCAGTGGTGTGATCGGGTGAAGAGTGACCGCGAAGTCCTGCAAAGGTGTAAGAGAAGCCTCGATGATGCAGGCCTGCGGGAATTGGAAGTGAAGGATGGGTGTCCATTCTGTACACTTCTCGACGAAGCAGTCTCAAAGCTGTATGGCGACTACCTTTCTGCTGGCAGATCACTTGGATGGGTGTCATTCCCGCGTGTTCTAGAGGCTATCCGTGATGATGGGGGGAATCCACTTCGGTTTTGTGTATCCGAACGTAGGTAAACCGAGTCGTTATCGCAAGATTAAGTTGCCAGATCCCAATTGGAACTCAATACCCGGATAGCTGAGTGGCTAATGAAGTTGAGCTAGATACCGACTTGACTGAACGTTTACGCCCATTCCCGACCTTAGGATTCGGCAACTGGCATCTGTCCAAGTACAAGTCTATCTCCCGGGATACTGCCTCAGAATCGACCCTAAAGATAGTGAAGGAATGGCTCCTTTACTGTGCAACAGACCATCCGCTATGTAGTAAGGATGGTAAGGTCAAGCTGCCGACTAGGCTTATTTGCATTGGCAGAAAGGCGTCTGAAGTACGTTTGCTCAAGACGAATGGTGCTACTGGCAAATACGCCTGCCTGAGCCACCCTTGGGGCAAGCGTCCATTGTTGCGAACACTGAAGAAGAATCTCTCTCAATTCACCAATGAAATCCAGTGGTCAGATCTGCCTCCCACTTTCAGGGACGCAATCGACTTTACCCACCGACTTGGCCTCAAGTATATCTGGATCGATTCCCTTTGCATCATTCAGGATGATCCTCTCGACTGGCAGAGAGAGGCCGCCAAAATGGCCGACATTTATCAGAATGCCTACGTAACGCTCGCAGCTTCCAAAGCAGTCGACTCCAGCCGCGGGCTTTACACCTCTTCCTTGGATCCTAAACATCAATCGCACCAGCTGTCACTCATGAATGATGTGGATGATTCAGATCTCAAACTACACGCGTATTCGGAATTGCTACACATTGATAGCTTCTGGTCCTACTTCCCTATCACAAAACGGGCGTGGGTGTTTCAGGAACGTCTGCTCTCAGGTAGAGTTGTACACTTTGCCGGTTCTGAATTGAATTGGGAATGTCGCTCAGCGAGGACATGCGAGTGCGGTGAGATCTCAACCTCCACCTCTTTGCCTGAGAAGATCCAGTTCTCAGGTAGTTTGGCCGAGTTGAGTGGGCAATACAATTGGATTGCAGAAGGACTGCCACCCTCGGCACCAGGAAATGGCCAAGACGAAAACCTGGACTACAGCAAGTTTACCCCGGCACTACTCCATTCGCCCAAGTGGACCAAAAGCGTCAAAACGTGGCGACAAACAGTACAGTCTTACTGTGCTCTGAACTTGACATTTTCAAAGGACATCTTCCCGGCTTTGGCCGGCATTGCAAAAGTGTGGAATCCCGAGTACGAGAAACTCTATCGAGCGGGGCTATGGATGGACTCCTTGCATCTAGATCTTTTGTGGCTCGTCTATAAACCTGAAAAGCGTCCTATTGCATGGAGGGCCCCGACATGGTCGTGGGCATCTCTTGAGTACCACAACGACGACTTTATTCGCTTCGACTCTGACTCAGATTGCAGAAACTCTGGCAAGGGCAGCTGGTTCTCGTTGGGGAAGATAGGGAGCGAAGATTACTCTCCTATTGCAGATATTCTGGAAGCAGTTTGCGTTCCAGCTGGTATTGTCGATCCAACCGGAGAGCTTGACTCTGCCCACCTTCTACTTTCAACTTTTGCAATCTCCGGAACACTAGTGAAATGGCCGGGAGTACTCGTTGAATATGGTGTCAGTCCTATCTGGCTCGTTGTCGGGAACTTATGGATCAGCCAAGGCGACAGCCATACTAGGGGCTTGCATTTGGACGCTCCGATCATTGGCGCGAATTCCGGGTGGTCGATTCCCGTTCGCATTATTCGCATAACGGATTTCGGTGCCAACACAGGCAACCATCCTGATATGGCCTGTCTGGTGATCCGATCAAAACGAGCCGCAACCGCAGATGGACGCATTGAGTATGAACGTCTTGGTTACGTCCGATTTGTAGAACAAGGATTCTCACAAGTGCCGGCCATCCCGAACGAACATTCAACTCCAGAACCCAGCATTCGAGATTGGTTGACAAGATATCGGGAATATATCAAAGGGAAACATACGCGGGAACTGGGCGTATCGAATCTGGGGCGTCTCAAAGATTGTTTTGAAAAATCAGGGCGTGAGATTTTCAAGATTGTGTAGTTATCTAAGCATTTGTCCTTCACACTGGTACTTAATATTACCTTGCGAAGAGATATGATTGAGGTGGTCACTATGGAACAAGTAACGTTGTTGGTATTCTAAGTTACAGTATGATCTCATCCGTGATTCGAGATTATGTCAAAAACAAAGTAATGAATGTCTCAATACTTATGGATCAGTAGATTGTGATCGATGTCTCGGGCTTCGCAGCTGCCCAGACGTTTCGATACCAGATCTGTCTTTCAGCCCAATCATCGCAAATAACCTCCAATAACCCTACCCTGATGTAAGAACTTGTCGCGTCCTTGGCAACAATAAGAAAAGAATCCCGTGTGCCTTTTGTCCGTGCATTCCTGCTGCCCAAACCATAACCTTTGATGTAGATCAACTCAGCGGGAAGAAAGGTGCAATGCCTACACAATTCCGGGAATTCTTCAGGTCGGCTATTGCGTATGAAGCAGGAATTCATTCGCTCAACTGAAGGGTCAACCCATACCTCCGATTCCGCAGTCCCAAACTCAAGTGGTGCCTCACCAGTCACTGGCGCACATTCTTCCCGAAACTCTCGCTTGTCTTCCCGGGCATAAAGAAGATACCTGCCGTAAATCCAATTTGTCCAACGTCGTTTCCGATCCCAGTGTGAGCACGGTCGCTGTATCATGATAGACAGGCGCTTTATCACCGCTGTCAGGAAGCCAAAGGACACCGAGCCATAGAGGTCAGCCCCAGAAGGTGAACAACTTATCTGGGCTGTTTCCATAATCCCGGGAGTCTTGTAGTCCAATAACTCGGCATTCTGAAACGTAGGATAGTCTACTTTGCAGCCACTTCCTGTGGATGCCCAAGACCAAGTCGGGGCGATCCATCCTCGTTTTAGTATCTTCGCGCGTTGCTTCTTCCAATCCGCCACAGTAACAACGCGCCACATGAGGTCCTGTTCAAGATTATTCTTCCACATACCAGCCAGATAGGTATCATTTGTCACTTCAGCAGTCTCATGAGCAAGGCCTGAAAGTGCCGGGAGCATATCCCCCGTGAACGTAAGATTGAGGCAGGTGTACTCGCCGATAACGCGGTGCCATCTCTCATAAGGATCGATTTTCCCATTCTTTGTGGCGATGGCGGTTATTGAAGTTGTTATAGGGTTATTCAGCAGTGCCAGGTACTTCGACCGAGATCGTAGCGGTATATATGTGCCGGAGAACCGTATCAAATTGTGCCAATTCTGGTGTTGCTCTCCTCCGCACTCGCATGAGTACCCGTTGGCACAGTCAAATGCCATTTCTCCATAGTTGCAATGGATGATCCGCCGCGAGAGGAGACGTTCCTGAAGACACCAAGCCCTATTGAAAAGAGGGAAATACTCTTGTACCCTGGCGTATTCCGACATTTCGTCCCGCTTTTCACCGGTTACCAAGGCGAGTCTGAATTCGTCACCACATTCAGTAGTGATCTGAAAGAACTGGCTTGGAATTGTCTTTGAGTAGCAGCCTCCCTCAGAATCATGAGACCAGCTTACGGCAATTGTGGCGTATGAGTTGCGGTACACGTTGACCATCTGAGCTGCCTCTTTCTCCCAATCTATCTTGTCATCTTGGATGATGCAAAGTGAGTCAATCCAGAGATAGCGGACCCCGAGCTTCCTCGTGATCTCGACTGCCTGTTGGAAGCTGGGTGGAAGCAAAGACCAAGGTATTGACTCCAGTTGTCTTTTCAGATTGTCGGTTTCCGTTTTGCATTTGATCTTGATCTTTCCCCAGCAGTGGCTCAGACACATGTATGTGCCTATTTGTCCAGATGTAACTACTAGATGGACTCCAAGTCTGTCTCCGGGCTGAGTCACATCAACGAGCCTCGTAGGCAATTTCATGTCTTTTCCCGTGCCACATTTGTTGTGTAGTTCGCAGTCATTGATCCAAGTCCGAATTCTCTGCAAGCTTAGATCGGAAGAGGTATCCCCGGCCACGCCGTTGGTGGATTGTAATCGGCGAAAGACATTGCTGGACCCCGCCACGTTGAAAAGTCTGACATAGTACACTTTGCCATCGGGAACATCCATTTCTAGAGTACCACTGAATTTTCCAGTCCAGCGGAATGTCGTAGAGGGGGCGGTTGGACCGAAGTTCTTGGTAAGTGCGCTATCGAACATAGTGTTCAGAGCCTTGCAACTCCCACAGCCATTCTGGGCTGAGTGATTCAAGTCCCCATACGTGAAAGACTTTCCTCGAGCAACCTTTTTCTTCCCGTGCTTGGTGAAGTTGTCATGTTCTGCCCTCAGTTTCGCTGTGCCCGCTCGGGATAATGTGCTCCATGAATCGAAAATGGCGCACTGGACTGAGCATCCTGTTGTTCCGAGTACGTGAAAGAAATCAAACGATTCTGGTTTCGTACCTCTCCCGGAGCGTTTTTTAAGAGCGTGCTCTAGGGAGATCGGTACTACCTGAACTGCCATCTTAATGAGGTATTGGGTTCGCGTTGATGCTTTTTGAGAAAGTTGACCCAGAAGATCTGAAGATCGGTCGGAAAACCAAAGTCAGGTCATAAACCTAGCCGGTTACACGCCTCAATTCTTTTCAAGCCATCTGCATATGCAGAGCTCAAAATCTGAAACCGAAATAAGCGCTAAAAACCAGGCGTCCAGTGACAGCTTCCAACCCACCTCGGCTAGGCAGCATTGCGCCTCACCGAGATTCTATGTCGCCTCTAAGTGGAATAATGCTGCCTGATCTCTCCGACTCAAGGCTTCCGTTGTATGCAGAAACACAAAATTCAAAGTTCCAAGCGCCTGGCATCAGAAATGCAATACCATACTCCGCAAATTCAGTTTCTCCGTCTTCTACGAAGTCCGATCCCTCGACTAGGTTCCGCACCCAAACGCGATATCCCGCTGCGCCCTTCGACTCTTCCCACTTTAGGTGCACGGTGATGGGATTCTGAACCTCAACTTGGAGCTGAGTCGGAGTCAATGGCTTGCCATTGCCAGCAATGAAGCTCCGGCCTCCTGCCGGAACACCACCTCCGTAGTTTGTCCAAGTACTGATCGCCAACCCATACCGATGGCCTGCCGATAGGTCGGTGAATGTTGTCGCAGTTTCTCTCAGCGCCATAGCAGTCGGAAAAGATCCCGGTAATGAGAGATCTACGAGGATGATCTCGTATCGGTCCACTTCGATTTGCCCCTGAGGCTCTTCCCATTTGACAAGGACCTGATACAGGTCAGGTTTGGTGATTATCTTCCTAGGCCCCGGGGCTGTTTTCGGGTGAGCAGTTGCTGAGACCGTATGAGACCAGGCGGACCTAAGGCCCTCTCCATTGAAGGTCCGGACTTGGTACTGATACTCCTGCCCTTCTTGGGTCCACGTCGAGTTGCACTGGGCTACATCTGTTCTCGACTCCTTCCATGGCAGGTTGTCATTATTGCGAATTCTGACATCATAGCCGATAGCGCCGTATACCGGATTCCATTTAACACAAATTCCGTAGGGAACTGCTTCCGCGACAACATTCGCCGGCACTGGCGTCGGTCTTTGTGGGATCTCTTGTGGAATAGTGAGATCTTGGGTTCCAATGCGAAACTTTCGGGACAAAGTCCGAGAGAAGGCTCTTGCAATCTGAAATTCGCCCAAAGCATTTGGATGTAATCCATCGTAACTTCCTTGGGAACAATGGTATCCACGCCGGACCTCCACTAACTCAACCGGAGACTCAGAGGATGACCACTTTGGCACTGATGTTCGTAGAAGCTGGTTGTACTCTTCCACCATGGCAGGAAGTTTCTCTGCCCCATCAATTGGCGTCCGCATCGGTACGTCGGCAAGAGCGAAGTTGATGTCTGATTTCGCAGTGCGTGCATTATCCACGAGTTTCTTCATGGCACCGAGAGTATTTTCGGCATCCGCGACACCCCAGCCCATGTCGTTGAAGCCAAGCATAACAAGCAGATAGTCAGGCCTGAATCGCGCCACCTGCTCCTCGATGAGGTCTTTACACTGTGTTGCTTGGCGACCCCAGACTGAGAAGTGGTGAGAGTTGAACTGCACGCCTGCAGCATAGCCGCCATGGTCTATTGGCATGTCAGGTGCTGGTAGCGGGTCGTCTTTCAGAGCCGGTGGTTGCGGTGGACGAGGTTGATCCGGAGTCTTTGTTCCTTCATACGGACCAACAAATTCAAAGTTAATCTTCTCTTCTGTGAGCCACTGCCATAGCCTATATCGCCATGCAAAGTCCCCTTCACGGCCTTGAGACATGGAGTCGCCGACTACCATGGTCCGAACTGGCCGGGTGCTCTCTGGAATCATGTCACCCATTTGAAAACTGCAATTGGGGCCTTGCGTCGGTTGGTGGGAGATGGAAATCGATCTCTGTCTGAAAGAGTCATCGGCGAACTCTCATTTTTGGCTCAATGTCAGACGTAGTGTTGCGAAGTGCAGATCGCGGCACTGAGGAGAAGCTTTGGTGTCGTCATAGCACGGACGCCGACACCAGCGAATCGCATTCAAGTGCCATTCGAATGAGAAGCGTTTGCTCAATCGTCCTCGACTTCTTGACTAATGTGGAGATCGACTTACCACTGTACTTAGCTCTAGATCCAGCAAGGGTGAGTTCAATGTATTTAGCGTGCTAGGCCTTAAGCACGTTGACCCTTGTGCAGTTAAGCAGGGTCAGCCCAGGCAGATCTACCTGACAGTTCTCCTGAATGTGGGGTGTCTAAGGACAGAGAATCTGCATCTCACCGACATTACTCGTTTAGGGCAGAACCACAACGTACCTTACCCTCATAGTGCAAATTCTTCAGATCTAAGGCATCATCATCCGATATGGTGTAGTGGCCAACATGATGCCCTCTCATCTCTTTGAGAGCTTAGGCATAGCCCCGAGTTCGATTCTCGGTTTCGGAAATCGCTTGCTTTTGCGGTACATACAGTTTTGTCTTGAGGCAATAAGCGCCAAAATTGGCGTTACATTCACAAGTCCCAGACTCTGAGGACGTTGGGTTGAGAGCTCCATTTTCGGCTTCGCAATTTTTTATTGATACTTCAGACTGTCTGTTCAATGTCCACAAGCACACTCTTTGCCGTAATACAGCCAACAAAATCCATAGATATTTGTTCCATGCTGTCACGAGCCGTTGCCTTGCTTTTGCTTCTCCGTACAAAACTTCCTCTCGATTCCCCTACTCTTTGGAAATAATGTGCGGGTTTGTCGGCGGGCCGTATGCATCAACAATAGTATCCTTCTTGGAGATGATGTGAGGGTTCGTGGGAGGACCGTAAGCTTCGACCGCGTCTCTCTTGGTATCAACGGCGGGAATATGCGGGTTCAGAGGAGGACCGTAAGCTTCAACAACTGTGTCCTTCTTTGAGATGATGTGAGGGTTGACAGGAGGGCCGTAAGCCTCGACGGCATCTTTCTTCGAGATGATATGAGGGTTGACGGGAGGACCATAAGCTTCGACCGTGTTTTCTCTCTTGGACTCAACGGCCGGAATGTGAGGGTTGAGGGGAGGGCCATATGCCTCAACGGCAACCGGCGCGGCGTAAGCCAACGAAGCGCAAGCTGCGACAGTGGTAAGAAGGGTTTGGACACGCATTTTGAAGTAGAACAAGAAGAACGGCGATGATACTGAGTCTCAAAGCAACAGGACTGATCTTGGGCACGGTGTAGTGATGGTGTTACGACTATCAATCAAGATACAGGCAATATTATATGTCTTTCTCAATTTTCCATTTCCCCTCTCCCTAGTCCTCTGTTCCGGCTTGTCTGGATCACCACTCAAGATGTAACAGTCGTAAGCACCCCTTGCGTTGACAGAATGCAGCATGAGGAACAATACGCCCGCAGAAACAAATTCGGAATAGGCGCCGCCAACGTGACAGTCAAAATTCCTTCGTTCCGTTCCTTCGGCTCGGTATCACACCTTTCATACCAGACAAGGCATGCGTAAAGCTCACATGAAGTCATGAAGCCATTCGCTCCTAGCTAGACTCACTTCCCTTTCTTTTGACTGGCTGGCCCCAGTTGAACAGGGGATGAATCTTCTAGCCACATGAAGAAGGTAGGCACACATCCCACAATGCCAAGCACCGCACAACCCATAGTTACCGAAAAGACTGGGCAGTTAACAAGGCTCACTGGGAATTGGTATCAATCGCCAGTCAATTAAGCACCTGCGCCTTAGAAACAGTGCGTCTATAAACCAGCGCCACCTTTGTTCACCCTGGTTCTGGCCCTTTGCCGCTGTAGGACCAGTCACTGGGGTTTCAAGAGGATCGTTATTTCTTCTTTCGCTCCTGTGCCCCTCCCTTCTACATGATATGCAATTGCTTACTCCTATGCGTCTTAATCCACCAGACAGAATCGGGGGATCAGTCCGATTCCTTTGCCCCAGTTTCGAACTAACCTTCCCTTTTGCTCACAAGCCGAGGGTTTGCCCCCTCAGTGTCGCGGAATGGATCCCATTTTGTACTCAATCGTCATGTTCTTGGCAATCCTCCTCTTTCTTGGCGAATCCTTCAGCCATCCTTATTTATTACTGAATTCGAGACCGCCGTATCATATTGGAACGTGGGATCGGCGCCCGACGATGTAAACCAGGTTTGCAATTGAGGCTTGACAGTATTTGGCAGGTGATACCATTGCAACTGACGATTACAAGCGATTACGGCATTGTCGGCAGAATCCTTCTTTTCGCTGTCGGTGATCAGAGCCCCGAGAGTCCCGATCCACTACCGATATCATCCAGTCGGAAAGTGATGTCCAAGCCTCTTATCAGGGAGTATTCTCGAGCTGAAACCTACCTCCGGCATCAACTAATTCTTTTTCGAAAATGAAAGATTTCTATCAAAGTGTTCCGGACCAAAACTCAACAGACGATTTGTGCAATAACGTAAGCTTACAATCATTGGAAACTTGTGTTCTCAGCAAACTGGATAGTAATAGCTCATTGATAAATTGTAGTCAACATGGCATGAACCTCGACAAGTTCGAGGAAAATGGAGCCTTCAGTCAAAGGTTATTACTGCGGTCAATGCGATATTCTTCTTCACATCGTGCGGGGTCCTCTTCGTCTCTTCGAGATGGCTCAATGACCCTGTCCATCTGATGAAGCGCGTGTCGCCCTATAGTAGGACAATCTTGTCTTATCTGAATTCAATCACAGTCTTGCTGAAATGTTTTGTGGCATAGGTCCAATTCTCGACGATGTTCCCATCCAGCTAGAAACGGTCCAGGTCAAAGGAACGTTGTTCAATGATTACACACCTCCACGCATATGGCGCGAGCAACCCAGTGAAGAGGTCGATAAAGCTTGGGACGACATGGCGCGGATCGAGTACTTTGGCGTAAGTGGTGATGCACTCAGGAAAATGGGCAAAGATCCTGAGATATCTGTCTCCATCCCAGAGGAGTGGGGTGTCGGGTCGGACAAGTATCTCGTTGAAATTGACATGCAGCATCAACTTCACTGCCTGAATGCAGTTCGCAAGTATGCTTACTTTGACTACTACTATGGTAACGATTACAAGAACATGTAAGTTGTCTACCAGGCCACCGAGCGACCGTATGTGAACGTGAGTTGACGATGGCACTAGCTCAATGGCGCCACAACGACACCAGGCACACCTGGCACATTGTGTGAGTCGGAATCGCACACAGTATCTTCTTTTCACCCTTTCTAACATGTTCAACAGATAGATATCCTCTTACAAGCTCTCACTTGCAACCCGAGCTTGGACTTGATCTCCCATAATTGGATGAGAACACAGGAGAATCCGTATCCTGATTTCAACATCAAGAGGCAGTGTGTGGCACACGACCCAATACTAAAGTGGCAGCATGAAAATGGCATCTCAGAGCAGATTCTGAAGTACAAGAACCTACCAAGGCCAGAGAGGTTTCCAGAAGTAGAACCGGAACCCTCCATCTTGAAGATCGGAGAAGATTTGGGTCATCACGAAGGACATCTTAGGCTTTGAAATGTTAATTCTCACTACCTCGAGGATATTTGCTTAATCATGCACCTATTTATACAAACAATCGTTGGTCCGGCACATTCGTAAATATCACCGGGGCACTTGTCAGGTAACTGAACCATATGAATTTGAATACAGTCAGGGACTACACAAATGGACCCCGTAGAAATAACTCCTCAAATAAAGAAATTGCACAGATTCGCAACCCGATTTGAAGAGGATGCTCTCTTCAATTCGTTGTCTGAGACACGACTTGATCCGCATGATCTCCATGTGCTTTGAACTTCCAAGTGTTGTGGAAACAACTCTCTGCACAACCCCTTTCGTGATCTTGATGAGGATCGTAATGATCACGGTTCTTCTTCAAACATGCCTCCTTCAAGTTGCCATGGTTGTTTTGTGGTTCGTAGTGTTCATCATTATGGAGACGTCGGTGTAGAGACTCGTGTAAGATGGCGTTGCGGGGTATATCTCGAGGACCGCCTTTGTTGAGGGGCCACTGGCAAAGCTTCCACTGTTTGGTCTTGTCATCGAGTTCCCACCTCTTAATAAGAGGGCAAATCTCTGCAAAGGTTAAGTCATCATGTCAGCCACCTAGTCAAGATATGAATGATCCGAGAGTCACTTACCAAGCAGGTACCACATAAATGGCTTGAAGTAGCCCATTCCCTTTCCAGGCCGAAGAAGGTCATGGATCCATCCCTTCAGGGCCTGCTCCTGCTTCACCTGATCCTGGTAGATGCTTTGCTTGAATCTGTCCAAGCGTCTTGGCCGCCACTTCAGCCCCGTCTCATTCTTCTTACCGTTCTCCTCACTCTTCCTTTTGTACTCCTCGTCCGCGAGCTCAAGCTCGCGGATCATCCAAGAAAGAGGAATATCGCTCAGCTGCATATCCTCGCTATCATCGAGCTCTTCTTCCTTTCGTCCCCTCCCAAGCATTCTCAAAAACCTATTCCAAAGAGTTGGGGGGTTCAAGTAGTCAGGAATATCATCCGTTCTGAAGTCACCGTTTTTCAACTTTTCCTCCCTGATCCTCTGGAGCTCTCTGTCTTTCCATGTCGGATCATCCTTGATTGCCGACCAACCCCCACCAACATCGCCATGGTTTCCAGGGAACCACACTTCTTTGATGTCATCTTCAGCATGGCGGTGCCTTCCCTTGTTGGAAAGTTTGGTAATATCTTGCGCGAGAAGAGCAGGCTTGAACTTGACTCGGAACTCGTCCACAGCAACAGCATGGCGCACATAGGTTGCGGTACCCTTGACCGAGGCCGGCTTGTCGCCAACCTTCTCGAGGACTGCAACGGAGTTGACGCAGTCCCACATGCCGAGAAAGAAGACCTTGATGTTTTCTTTCCCGCAGTCGCCCTCTTCCTTGCGACAAAAGGTCTTGCTGAAGGCCTCCATCTCGTTTCTCTTGCCTCTTCTTCTCCAGCCCTTGGGCTTCTTGATTGCGTCATTGGAGCTGCTGATTCCGATGGGGAAGGCCTCATCAACGGGCGTATCTGGTGGACTCGCAGGCGTTTCGTAGGTACTGACGGTGGGGGCTTTCGTGTTCTTGGTTGTTTGGTCGTTGGTCTCTCGGGCATCAGTCGGATTGATCACGGTGGCCTTTTCTTCTTTGCCGCTCTTCTTGACCTTTGCTAGATGGTCTTGGTAGAGTTTGTATGCAAAGGGTACCATCTCTTCGTTACCCTTGCAGAGAAGACCAACGGTGTTGACCATGCGACACAGGAATCTGGCGGTGAAGGCGCCACGACTGAAGCCAAAGATATAGATTCTGTCACCCTTGAGATAATCGTCAGCACCAGGAGTCGTTGAGTACACATAGCATCAAACCTACAGTCTCATAGTAGCGCATGAGGAACCGATATCCAGCAATGACATGGGAATCGAACGTGGTCCCAAAGCCCATGTCGATCTTCTGAGAGATATTGCTGCGGACCTCGCTGACCCAGTTCTTGTTGACACTTGTGTCGTCAACGTCGTATGTTCCGATACCGGCTATTGTCAATAGTGTGTAAGAGATTACTATACCCAAAGCAATCTTCAGCGTTGACTCGACTTACTCTGGTAGTAGTGGTACTGGTGTTTGTCATTGCGATCGAGCATACGCAGGAGCTTCACGACATTGGTGTCAGAGCCGGAGCCACTGAACGAGTTGCCTGTGCCATCGAAGCAGAGAACGAGCTTCCTGCTCTCGGTCTGTGCTTCAGTCTCGATAGACGCCATGGTGATGCTTGTCTCCAGCGGATGGAATCAGAGGAATGATACTGCAGAATGCTCGGATTCCGAGATGAACTTTGATTCTTCAAAATCCCCTTGGAGCCAGGCTGGCCGAGCAAGGGCGTCCGCATCAATCATATATGCATTTCCACCGCCAACAACAACAAGTCAAAACACTCCACGTGATCCGAGTTCTTGCACTCTTCTCGATGTTGTTGCTCGCAATGAAAAACATCCAATCGCAGACTGGAACGCTACCAGAGTTCAGCCATGATTCCTCTGTTCCTTATTCTCCATCCCGAAAGCATTTGGAGATCTCAGCCCTGTATCACAGTCCGGGAGACTAAAATGTCTTTCTAGCCCTATCTTCTCGCAACGGATCGTAAAGCAAATTGCGTTTTCAGAATCCGGTCTCTGCATGTGGGGAAGATCTTCCGTTTCAACGACTCAGCTGGCCACGCCATGGCTGCTTCGGTAGTAAGGGTATATTTGTTCACGTGCCTTCGCACTTCATCCTGGCGTTGAGACAACGGATGCGAGACATGCTCGGGCTGTGAAACCTGGCTTATCTCAACTTGGCGATATGTCTCGTGCGGACATTGTCGAATCATGAGGGTCTAATTGTAATTTCCTCTTTTCCCAAAAGGGTTACAAGAAGCAAATCACTCAGAAATGAAGTCGCCTCGGTCCATCCTGTCAGCCGAATTTGGTGGGATAGACAAAGCAACATAGTAGGTTTTGTTCCAAAGGACTTTTCGCCTCAAGTCTTAGCATTTGCCGTGATTGCCGACTTGAATTCAACTGGGATCTGACACCTGCCTCGGTTCCCGGGCTCTAAAGACTCTAGCGAGGACCAAGCTCGTCGTAAGAAGTTGTTGATCTCGGAACCTCGGGCCTACCAGTGAAACGCCCACGGGCATATCATTGGCTCCAGAAAAAGCAGGAATATTGACGACGGGCATATGGAACCCCTGTAGAACGTCAGCCTGAAGAGTGACTGATAGGTATAGAGGAACACTAACCGTCCACATCGTGTTGAAGGTCGCGCGACCCATGTGACCGAGTCCAACAGGAGCCTCGTCTTCTGCGCTAAGGGTGAGGATGGCTGTGTACCCTCTGGCCAAGTCATTGATGATGCGTCGCATGTGAGAATACCTGTCAGAAGCCTGCTCCCTCTCTTGATGCGTTATTCTGGCGGTGTTCTCGACTAGCTCGCAAATCTCTGGGGCCAGATTGTCCTTGTCAATTCGGTATTCTCGAAGAAAGGAAATCCGGGTTTCAGCTTGGGTGATGACTTGTTGAAGTCTATCTAGTTCCTCCGGATCCGATATTTCAGGTGGAAATGAGACCTCTTCAACCTTGATTCCTCTTTCTCGAAGGATTACTGTGACCGCCTCGATGGCAGATATAGTACCGGGTCCTGCCGTGGCCCACATTGGAGTCTTCATGAGAGCAATTGACATTTCTCCCAGTAGCATATCCCTTGCAGGCTCATCATCTTCGATGCTGAAAACATCAGCGAGGATCTTCAAGTCTTCTACGCATCGAGCAAAGAATCCACATGTGTCGAATATGGGCGCAATTGCTTTTTGGCCTTCTGTCGAGATGGTGTTAAAGGTCGGCTTGAGAGCATAGACTCCCGTGAATGATGCTGGGCGAATAAGACTTCCTCCGGTTTGTGATCCGGGACTGAGCGGAACATGCAACGCCGCCACAGCTGCGGCTGATCCGCACGAGGACCCTCCAGGGGTGCGCTTCGGATCACAAGGATTTGTAGTGTCAGGTCCTGAGTTTGTCACAGCGAACTCGGTCGTCGTAGTCTTACCTGTTGGCGTAGTCAGAGTCTGGATGAACAGCGAACAAAGGAACACGAGCCAAAGATTAGAGCACCCGAGGCGCGAAGGGTTGCGACGGCAGCGGAATCAGAACTTGGCTGATGCCCTCGATAAATGGAAGAACCATACTCCGTGGGCATATCTAACTTGTGTGAGTGATAGACCACATGTCGGAGCTTAATCCTACCCTTGGAATTCATAATGTCCTTGACTCCAATGGCAAGACCATGCAGAGGCCCTCTTTCGCCGACAGGGACTTGGTCGAGAGTCTGAGCTTGAGCAATTACAAGCCCAGGGTCTAGGACATATCAGAAGATTCTGCATTTCGCAAAACTCCAAACTCACCAAGAAACGCCCATGCTTTTACGATGCTCTCAGTCTCTTTGACATGGTCTAGAAGCTCCCGCGTGTATATCTCCACCGTGACTGTGTTATTTTGTAGCAGCTCAAGCACTTGAGTTGCCGTCAGCTCGTGCAGTCTCGGCGTCATTGTTGCAGCGGGACAGAGATTAATCCATTCAGAACATGACTGGAACTCAGGATATTCTTCGCAAGAGGTAGACGGCTGATCGAGAGGTACAGTGACGACTGGGGTTATCCGTGGAAAACGAATGGAGAAGAGGGGGAAACGACACGGCGGTGTAGAGATGGGACATTCACGGGGGCGCAGGGTTTCTGTCTATAGATGTTTGTTCGAATTGGGCGGGCAGGAGAGGAGCTAGACAGGGGTGTTGGGCGGCAAACATGTTGTCTGTCACACAAAATCTCGCTCGTCAAAAATATGCGACTTCATGTCCAACCTGGGTGTATGCTGTCTTGTGGAAGGCAACATCGGTATTAAAGTAGAATAACAAAGCTGGACATCTTGGAAGCAAATCAAGACGTAAGAGTATTGATATTGTCAGGAAAGACAAAGGCAAAGAAGGATACAAATTTCAAAAGACAATATATCTCATTGGCCGTTCTCTAACCTTGAAATCAAAGTAAAGCTGTTGCAAGCTTCAAGATGACGCTTCGTGCATCCCCCCGGTTCTATCACAAATCGAATGATGCACTAAATCCACTCCTAATATCTTCCTCCTATTTCAATGAGCGTCAAGTTATACAAAAGGAATGTGATTCAACATCAGCCACATGTATCGCATCGCAAGAAGGCCGATAGCGTGAATAACAGCAAAGACAACTCCAGCAGCCGCAACAGCAACCATAGCAATCCCCGTCTCTCGCGACGCAGCGTTGGGCAAGCTGGTCGTAGCAGCAGCCGCCGCCCCTCTGGTGCCAGTAGCTGCGACTCCAGTCTCAGTAGCCGCAGTACCGGCAGCGGTCGTAGTCGCAACCACTGTAGTTTCATCGAGGGAATGACTGAACTCTGCTACAGCCGAGCAAACGGGGCCGTAGTTCTCGGCAAGAGAAGTAATCTTGCCGACAAAGTCCTCGTCCTTGCAAGCGGACCAGACAGCGCTGAGCTCGCTGCTGTGAGCGCTCGTCCAAGACTTCAGTCTGGATGTGAACGAGGTCAAGATGGAGCCGGGCGCACCTGTGAGCGTGGGCAACTCGCAGGCGTTCGTGATGGTTGGGATGTCGTCCTCATCGATACCAGTCGCGGACAGGGTGGGAAGGTCCATGGTGACGGATCTGTGCTCTGCTACGGTATCAACGCATGCTAAGAGACCACGGTTTTCGAGGCCCGCTGCTATGGCACCAGATGTGGTGGCGATGAAGAGAATGTCGGTGCAGCGCATCTTGGAATTAGGTCTATTTGGGTATTAGATAGAGGTGTGAGGGGTTCAATGCTTGAATGGAAAAAGCTTTTATGGAGGTTCGGGTACTGGAGTAAATTAGATGGGAGGATGATGGACTAGATCTTCTCCTACGACCCTGGGCATCTTCTCCCTATTTTATACTGAAAACGGAAGGGGTTCTAGATCTACGGATAACAGTCTATGGCTTCATATGGTAACACTTTGGGTGTTATCCGATCCTACGCTCCGCCTCATTTCAATATTTCATGTATATCAACTCCAAGAGTCATCCTGAGCCGAGCGAAACTGCAGATTCATCTCAGAAACGGCCAGATAAGTGAAGGCGAAGTCATTGCTGACACTCTCTCCTAGAACCTCCGATTTATGAGCATCACCACATTGGTCAACAGTGTTCAGCCTCGCTGCCAGCTGTTCATAGGTCTCCTTCTCTGGGACTGATGAGCGGTGGATTCATGACAGCCTGCCTCTGTAGGATTATACAGTGCTACATTATGACCTCCGGCATACATCTGAATAAATGTAAAGTCCACTTGTCCTATTCCCTCGGATAGAGCGGACTGATTGCTATCGCGGCGGCCCAAGTATTCCCTTCCATAACGCATATCCGCACACAAAATGCTTTCTTCTGAACTCTTTCACAAAATTCACAAGATATTTATCACTGTCTTGAGCTGTCCCATGAGCGTTGATCGGAGAGACATGCCTCGTCACTATTCACTCTTGTCATTCATGCGGTGCTTCTATTCATAGTAGGCGTACAGGTGCAGTCCACCTGCTGGTTGGAGTGTGCGGCAGTAGCAGCCTGACTCTCTCGGCGCCGAAGCAAACTTGTCATCTGGACCTACGTATTACATCTTTCTTATATATCCTGCAAAGCCTCTCTTTCTCCAATCAGCTCTTTCTCAATGGCTGTACGAGCTGCCTAGCTAAGAGTCTCTGCATTTGGTAAGACGCCATGGAAGCATTCACGAGGCATATCCAAAGAAATGGGCGCGTCGTCTTTGCATCTGGTGACAAGGCCTAAGTGCTGAATCACTCGGTGCCGACTCGAAACCACCATTTTTCCGGAATACAGGTAGAGTCGGTTGCTGCTCACACTGGCAGTGCCATGTTTGCGACTGTATGTGTATACTTCTGCTGAAATCTCCACGCAGGCACTGTTGATTTTCTTTCCGGGTTGATGAGACTTCGCAAAGTGTTTCGACAGGTCCCGTTTAGCCTGCTTCAAGTATCTGTCGGATCCTTCAGCTTTGTAAATTGCCCCCCAACATTGTGCTTCCAACAGGCATGCAACGTCTTTCTGGCCAGGACCAATAAGACGCGAAGCAGTCGTAGTATATTGACCAGGGTACCAGCCCGAATGTTACCGGTCTAGTAAATGCAAAGTTCTTCTGTTCTAAGCCAATAAGATAACGTGGTAACGTTGGATGCGGCTCGGCCGTGGGGCCCGGCTCTGCCCCCGGGTCCCGGCAACGTTATCTCGTACCGTCAGCAACTTACGAGCTCACGTCTCGCCAACTCTCCTCCTCCTAGCCCTCTCAACAGCGCGGCTCTTCTCCCCAATCACCCAACTTCCCTCGCTTTTCTTTTTCAGCCCTACAGTGGATGATCTCCCATGTCTTCCACCATTGCACATCGTGAAACCCCTCACGCAGAATCGGGTGTGACAATGTTTGCACCGGCGACGGCCGCCGCCGCCCAATACGACGACGATATAATACTAGATGCTTGCTCTGATACGGTCGGCATCAGCCTAGTCAAGAGTCCGCCGTACGCCACGGAAGAAGTCTGGAAAGTCATGCAAGCCACCATCACCCGACTCTACCAAAGCGAGGGCAAATCATTGAAGGAGGTGAAAGCCATCATGGAACGAGACCACTTCTTCTTCGCAACGTGAGCTGATATTTACTTGTAACCTCCTCATAACGGAAGAAGTAGATATGTTTTCTTCCTCTTCGTCGCTCGGGCTCTTGAATGGGAACTAACCATCAAGTCCCTCTATAGAGAGAGGATGTTCAAATCCCGCATCGTTCGATGGGGCCTAGACAAGAAGCTCAAAGAGCCGGAGGTCCTGCACATGCTAGAACTTAAGCGAAAGCGCCAAGCGGCGGGAAAGGACTCGCGCTTCAGCATCGAAGACCAGGACGTCGACTGGGACCGCGTGGAACAGTACCTCAAGCGCAGACCCGACCTGCATAACACTACTATCAAGCGAAAACACACGCCGGGCAAGAGTACCACCGCCACCACCTTGAAGCGTAAAATCACCTGCAGAACACCTTCGCCGTCCCCAAGTCGAAGTCCAGTGCTACACGCCTCCTCCGCATCCCCAACCATCATCACTCCCCTCCCCTCCCTCCTAGCCCCTTCCCCGTCCCTAGACACAGACATCCAGTCCAACGTCCTCCACCTCTTCAGCACATACCACACCTCCGCCTTCCAAACCGGCACCTGGGTCCTTGACGACGCACACCTCTGCGAAAACGACTTCGTCCACGTCGTACAGACCCTCACAGAAATGGGAAAAGTCCCAGGCCTGCTCCAACGGAACCAGATCCCCACGGGCCTACGCACCCTCCGCCGCGCGCTCGCCTCCTTCCGGCACGTCCTCCTGATTCGCGAACCGCGGTTTTATTATTCTATGCTTGTGAATATCCTCACGTTGCAGGGCAATATTCAGGTGTTGGAGTATTCTATCCGGTACATCCATGCCATTCACTGCAAGATTCTAGGCGAGGGGCACCCATTGAGCGTTGTATGGTCCAAACTTAGAGACCTCCCGCAAGAGATCCGTCTTGAGACGTTGAGGAGTGTGTTTGCCGTAATATGTCTGCAATTCGAGACTGAGGCGGGGTTCAACAGCGAACATGCCCTAGATGTCCTCATCATGCGGTGTTCCCTGCTCAGACTCCTCGGCAACGTGGACGGGGGCGAGTTTCGCGCCGTCATCAGGGGATACACCGCAGCCGCGACGGAGGCCTTGAGACAAGACAACTACCAGCTCTCTTGCAGAATCTTGCTCGGCGTGGCGACTGCCCTTCTCGATGCTGGTGACGTTGAGCAAGCGGAGAGGACGCTTTGCCAGATTGGGTCTACGATCAGTATTCAATCTCAAGTGGCAGCCCATAATAGGAATTCGACCAATAGAAAACAGCAACAGGAAGATGAGCAGCTTTCATTCCAGACGCAGCAAGCTGACCGCTGCTCTATGAGTTCTTCATGCTCACACGCGAGTCATGACGGTCAAGATGAAGGAGCCAGTGAGACGAAGATAATATACGGGTACTATAAAGGGGTATGGGAGCCATGGAGTAAGTGGTCTCCCGCGGTGGTGAAAAGGGTTCTTGATACGCATCGCCGAGCACGAGAAAGAGATATATGGGCTGCGAGGCTGTGGGCTGACGTTTTGCTCGCTGTGAGGTGACGACACAACGTGGATCTAAAGCATTATATCTCATGTTAGCCCGGAGTAAGCCAGGGGAAGGGGCAAGGTTAGTATGTACCACATAACCCATAGCAATCACATTCACATGGGGCCACACCACGAGGGCGAAGACAAAGTCAAGTCAATCTAATGTCTTCAATTCGTCTATCCGGTCTCCTTAGAGGCGACGCATGCTAATATTGCAAGCTTGCAGACTTGACAAGTTCCTAATTCTCATTTCGATCATGGGAGTCGGCAGAAATGCCGCTGCCTGCGCAACCAAGCTTCGGCCGTAGCCGAAATACCCGCTCCCATGTCGGCCATGCTCATATATCCTAATTCCCTCCTCTTGACGTTGCAAACACTTTCAAACGCCTTGAAAACTCCTGTTCCCATGCCCCAACCGGCAGATGCGAGAGTGTCCATGACCCTAAGCCTATACAAGAAGTCCATGTTTCGCAACATAAGTCCCCATACCCAAGGCACCCAATTTTTTTGTTTTGCTGCCGTCCCTGCTGATCCTCAAGTGGCGGCGGTGTCAACCCGCGCCCCATCCCGAAGATGGTGGAATGAATGCAAAAAGAGCAAAGATCTAGAAAATGGTAAAACATGATAGAGATAGCCAGCGCTTCTGACAAAGAAAAGAAATGAAGTGAAAAACAACTAAAAGCGATGTGTTCGAGGTGTCCCAATCTAAATACACGCTGGCAACGCTTACAGACGACATCACCGCAAGGTATTGAAATCCATCTCCGTACTTATGCCGGAGAGACCAGGCATATCGGAATTGGCCCGCTGCAGTGCGTGGAAGTCTCCAACGGTGCGTGGTATAGGTTGTTGCGGGATAGCATAGCTACTGGCGCGCTGCGGCTGTTGACGCGGTATGGAATTCATGAGGTTGTTTCCGCCTGGTCCCATAGGATGTGATGTTGGCATCGACTGCTGGGACTGAACTGATGGTGGGCTGATATTGCCCATGTTCTGCCCTTGCTGAATGCTGTGGATGTGATGCTGGCCCATATTGGGCTGCATTTGCTGTGGCGTCATGTGGTTCTGAATCATGTGATGCGATTGCTGGTGTTGATGCTGATTGTTCATGTTGCTTTGACTGTTCATCGCCGATCCGTTTTGGCCGGCCGGACTCATGACCATATCGGGCATCGGCGTGCATCCATAGTCGTTCATTCCGTTGTGGGGATACTCCATTGGTGGAGACATAATGGCGGGCGAACTGCTGGCAAAAGGCGAATTCATATCCGCAGTAGTCGCTGGAGGAACGGATGATGCACTGGCAGACGTGGCAGGAATGGTATTGGCCTCACTGCCGTTGCTGTTCATGTCGGACACGCCATACTTCTTTTCGTAATCGGCAACGGAAAATTTCCTTTCGTAGTCGGTATCCATCTGCATCTGCATCTGAGATGGAGGTTGTGCCATGCCTGCATTGCCGAAGCCATCAAAGATGTCAATGTTGCCCATGTTAGAATTTTCGGGCGCGTTTTGCAGCATCGGGTTGGTCAGACGAGGCATAATGTCGGCAACCTTGTTCAGCAACAGCGGCAGGAAGCGATGATCGCCATGGCGGAGGACGGCAACAATATTGAGGGTCTGGTTGAGTTGCTCTCGGGGGCCGACGGTGAATGGATCCCGCGCGGCGGGCTGAACAGCGAGGAAGTCGGTCATGTTGCAGCTAATCTCGAAAAGCTTTTCAATCTGTGTACAGGGTTAGCAACAGGAGGGAAATAAACTCAGATCTGAAAAGTCATACCAAGCCGGAGCTCATCAACTCCATTCCTTGTCCAGGGAAGTGAGAGGCGAGGGTCATCAGAAGCTCGCGGGAGAGGTCAACTGGGTAGTTGAAGTTCATGTTGTCTTCGTTGGACGAGTTTCCATGGGTTAATTGCCAGACAGTACTCTTGAGCCACTGCTGGTTGGTGCGAAGGTCGGATAGCTGACCATCTTGGCAAAGGTAGGTGGGAAGGACCTCGTTCAATTGCTTCTGCAGGTTAGACACATATAGATTGGTGCGCGTCTTGTTCCAGATAGCTGTGAAGGCATCGTCGAAGGGGCGGAACAGGTTCACCAGCATGATGAAGCTGTTCAGCTGGTGGCTGAGTGGGTCACTCGGGTCATCGGCGGAGTTGGGCGGGTTGATGGTGGCTTGCAAAGTCAAAGGTCGCTGGCGCTGAATGGCGTGAGATCTGCAAGGACAAGCGGTTAGTAGATGGAAAAGAGTGGCAGTTGATTAAGCATTTAAGGACAGGATCTTACCTCTCCATGATGTAAAACAGCCAGAAAAGCCGCCTTCTCCGAGAGGACTCGGCGTTATCCCACTGGGGGCCGTGGTACGTCTCCTCCTTGATCATGCCGTTGAGGTGCATCATGGTAGAAGCCTCGCGAAGGTAGAACCAGGCCTTGTCGTGCAGTTCGATACCATGGTAGCAGCCATATACGAAGAAGTTTGTGGCAAGAGTGTTGAAGCTGATGTTGTCGAGGTAGTCGTAGCCCTTGCGAACTTGCAAGGTCTCCTCCAAAAGCAACTGGCTTGCGACGATGGTGGCACCGGGCATAACATCGAGGTTGAAAGGGTCGCCTGTGGGCATTGACATTCCTGGCTGCAACATCATGAATGCGCACAGCGAGGTCAGCAGGCAGTAGGTGTCGCGGTTCTGCTCCATGAATGGGAGTTGCTGGTCGATTTGGCGACGATCGAGGATGGGCATCTTTTCGTACAGGTTGGCAAAGTAAAAGTCGATGCATTCTTTGACGAGTTCGCTCGAGAGCAGACCGGGGGTTGGGGCCAAGCTGACAGGGCCTGGAGGAATCGGAATGCCGTTCATGCGGTTTTGAACCTTTGCGGACAAACTGGTCTGACGCTGTGTTTCCCTCAATTCGCTAATGACCTTTGCACGGGAGCCCTTGGGACCCTTCTTCTGAGGAATAGCATTATAGGTGCAAGACAGCTGTGCAGTATGACAGTTGCGACACGGATTGACGCCGTCGCATTTGACCTTGCGACGATGGCAGGCGTCGCAGGCCCGCTTGACGGCCTGTGTCATGGTGGCGACGTACGGTGAAGACGTTGTGGCGGTTGTTGTCGTCGGTGGTCGACGGTCGCTCTGAGACAAGCAGACCAGGTGGGTGATGATTATTCCGAGCGACGGCGACGGCTCTGTAGGGGCGCTGGCATCGACAATGAAGGTCTAGCGGGCGTTGATTGAGTTTTGCGGGGAAAGAGGATTGATAAGAGAGGGTGCAGAGTGATGGAAACGGGCTTCTGGGACAATAGGAGCGACCCGTGGAGTTGTGTTGGCGAGGGATGGAGTGTGTATTCGGCCCTTTCTGTATGCAGTCGCTGGGAGGGAAACGCGGGGGATGGTGCCAAAATCCGGGGCTGCGACGCCCGTTACAACCCTTTCCGTTTGTCTGTGCAGAAAGCCTGCTGCGTGAAAAGTCTGCCCAGGAGTCGAATGTGTCGATGAATGTGCGAAAGTGTCGTCGGTTTGTCGGAGAAGAAGCCCCAGACCGAAGACGATGAAGGGGAAACTCGACGATTCTTCTCGGTGAGGGTCGGTCGGGTAGGGAGAGTGAGTTGCAGGTTCGAGAATTGCGTGGTAAGTGGTGTGTTTGAGTGGGCGGAAGGAAAGTGGACGGAAGGAAAGAGGAGGAGGGTGGATGGACTGGGAAGGGGAGGGAAATGGGAGTGGAAAAGAGGAAGGGACAAGGGCAAGAATGGAGAGTGGGCACCTGCTGGGCAAAAAGAGACGGCGAACGGGAGACTCGAGAGGGACGACAGAGACGGCAGGAAAGCCCAGGACAGCCACACTGCAATACCTATGGAAGGTAGGTACCTACCAGCGGGCAGTGGCAGCCAGGAAGGAACGGAGAGGACGTGATGGCCTCTTTCCTTGCTTAGGTTGTCAAGTGGATCCATTCTGGGTTTGCTAGGCCCATTGCAGCATGCCCACTAGTCCCAGTTGGGAGTAGCGGACTTGGAAGATGAGGACGGACCTCGCTCTGCACTGTGTGGGGGCAAGGCGGATGTCTGGTGACAAACCACAGGAATCACTCGAAAATGGGCAGGACCAATGGGCAAGAAAGAGTGAAGGAGCACCTCCTCCTGGCATGTTTCCCCACAGTAATGTGTTGGGTACGTACTGTGTACACCTCCTGTCCTTCCATCTTTCTCCCCTCTCGTCAAGCCCCGTCGTTCTTACCTCCGCGCCGATGGACCACCTCACATTCTACTGCGTATGTACGTAGGTACCTTACCTTACCATCATGTTTGGTTACTTCCTCACTTTCAAGGCATCCCCGCCATTTTCGTGTTGTTCATGATTCCTCTCTTTTATTGTGCGAGACGCAACAAATTTCCCCGGTCAATGCAGAGGATCCCAGGGACATCAAGTTCAACAACAAACCAGCAACACTACTCCGTCCACTTCGGATGCCAAACATCATCAGGCCAAGGGCTTAGCCAAGTGGCAGCAGGCAGGATCCGAGGTGATCATTGATGTGACGGCTGCACAAACACACGGAACACGCCGCCTGCAACGTCGTACGAAGGCTGGGGCGCTCATTGTCCAAGACCAAAAGTCGCTTACAACGCCCAATCCAAAACGAATAAGCCAATCGAGTCCGCTTTCGTCGTCGGTGACCGGTGTCCGTTGCGCTGGGAAAAAACCGAGGTACCAAAAACCAGCCTGTCGGTTGGCTCACTGCAGCCTGCGCTGCCCCCTCTCGCCCACCTGCGGAATGGGATGAGTTGCATTTCGGACGGAGCCCGTCACTCTCAGCTTTCAACAAGTATCTCTCCACCACATTTTGGCTATACGGTACTTTAGTACGCCTGGAGTTTGCAGCCTCTGGCCGCTGGCAGATGGCAGATTGCTGCCGTTGCCTGCCGTTGCTGTCCTTGCTCTGGCGCTGTACCCGACAACTACGTTTCACTCGCAGTCGGCCGAGGCGCATCTTGAGGTCGATCCGAGGTTTCCTATTCGCCTCACTTTGTCTGCTCAACTACTATGCAATTCTCTGGGCGGAATACTTCCTCGCTCCTCGTTCGGATGCAAATTTCGTGCCCTACGGATACACACTGCCGACATCATACATGTCTTGTCTGTCTACGACATGCACGCCTGATTGGCAGGCCACCTCCGCTGACCGTCTCGTGATAGTCCTCCACCGTTCCTCGACTTCGCCCAGTCCGACTTGTCATCACCGCCAGAATTTGCCCACCCAGACCACGGCACCGGCACGCAAAGCACCTGGAAACTGGACACGAACGAGCCTTACGAATACCCAGTGTGCCACGCCGTCTCTTTGTTTAATTGGGGCCGTGTTGCTTTCAAGTTTGCCGCCTATTGTCTGATCTGATCTGGACTCCCGGCGCTGGATCCTCGGGACTTGTTAGCGGTAGCCTGTCATCAGCTTGCATCCTCCCTGTAATGTTACTAATAATTACAGTGTTCCACCCGAATCTCCCGCGCGAGCAGTCCACGATGGCTACCCAGTGCCGGTTCGACTCTTGGCTCTTGTTTTGATGAGACTACAATGCTCGAAAATTAGAGGCATACGAAACAACTGTCCGAGGGACATCCCTCGCCGCACCTCGACAGCCACAACGTCGACAGCAGCCACAAACACAACGCACTGATGGCTTGCCCATGGGGTTCATCGACGCTGGGACGCTGCTTGTTCCCCTAAACCTCCTCACAACTTGCTGCTGGCAACGTCGATAGCGCGCGGTACAGATGGAGCCCTGCCAGGTTCTGCCCCCAAAAAGCCCCTCTCAGCACCGGCGGTCTCGTCTCTCAATGGGGCTCGGATCAAAGCCGCCCATGCTCGAGGCCACTATTTCCCAGTAGTTCAACAAAGCATGAACTTTGTTGGTCTCGACAACATGGTGATCGTCCGACACTTGGGATGGCGGAAAGTGCCAGCTCTGAGCACTAAACGTGCAGAGACGATTCCCACTGACCGAGCGTTCTGGATGGCTTTTTCATCTTTTTTTTTCTTACGGCTCTGAAAAACTTGGTAGTTTGGGAGTAGAATGCCAACCGCGTTGCTTCAAAGCAGGCACGTACGGATGCAGATATAGCACTGAACCTTGGTAACTGCAGCAAGCATGCTACGAGAACCCACCAAATGGGATCGAGATCCTTCTAACCGATGGCGGCTGGTGGGCTATTGCTCGATGGTTACAGATGGTCGGTTCTTGTCCTCACCCACCAACGTAGCGGTCGTGGCCATCTTGAACTTACGCTGGTGGGCATTTCCGTGTCCCCGAACCTTGGACTTGGCAATCTTGCGAATCGCAAGCAATCTTTGCTCAGTTCATTGCAAAGACTCACACTGACCATCCTCAATCAATTAACCCCTGGGCTTGCCAGTCCCCGGATCGCCCTAGAATGGCGCATGAGGAAAACCTTCCACCTTCCAAGCGTCTTCCATCATGCTTCCATTCGCTTCAGCCCACCTATCAGACCACGACCTCTCGGTGGCCACCCTCCTTCGCCAATGCAAGAAGCCGTTTGCAGCTTGATCATCAGTGCACGAGTTGGCTATACCCAGAGTTTGCTGCTCAGCTGTCGTTCGTCACCAGGGAGTCCATTTGCATCAACGCAACACGGTGACCATTTGGAATGCCATTGAAACCAATCGAGCTCCTAACTTTGGGCGCATCTCAAATCGGTGTCGTGTGCCCACATCGGGGCTTGAGTTTTGTCAATAATTCAACGGCACCAGCAGAAGCCCCGTTGTGGCGGAGACCAAAGAAGCAGCTTGTAAGGAGGCAACATTGTTAGCTGCCGCCGCCTCAGAAGCCGTCGACGCTAACAGGCATTAACACTGCCCCCGTCTGCGAATGCCGGTACACCCGTGAACTATGGACGAGGGGAGAAGAAGAGGAGGCACCGCGAACGAGGAATTCGCTCTTGTCAGCATGAAATGGCATTCTCTGAATAGCTACGCACAGCAGTAGCTGGATCCAACACATGAGACAAGGGGCAATGATTTCTTTTTATTAAACTCGACCACGGGCTCTGGTAACTTGGTCACGGTCCTTGCGTTGGACAGGTTACATCGCACTGCCCTCTGGTCTCTGAAAATCTCTGGCAGGGCTGAAGAATCTGCCCGTCTCCAGCCCTCGCTGTTCTCACCTTGTCCACCTCGTGGCACCGGAACTGTTGACACCCGCTGTGGTTTTCCTAGGCCTGTGAGATGGAATTTGAGAAACACCGGTTTTCACTCGTATTGGAGGCCTGTATCTCCACGAAGAGGTCCACGGCGACCTGAGCACCAGAACCGAAAGATGTATACGGAGTACGGATACAAAGACCAAGGAGCCCTTGCTCTGATCATGGTCGATGACAGCGCCCAGAGAAATGGCCTGCATTCCGTCGCTTCTCCACCCCGTTTCCCCCTTCCTTCTCCTCAAATGCCGACAGCGAACCAGCGCTCGGGCAAGCGCCCAATGTCGGGGCTGCGGAGATGCCTCGACAACTTTCCAAAGAAGCCAGGCATGACAGGACGCTGTACCACGCCCAATCCGACCATGGCACGCTCGCATAGCACCATGCTGTGCTGTGCGTCGGCGTCCGTCTCAGCCCACTCTTCCTCCTCCACACGCTCTAATCCAGATCGGCACAAGCGTGCGCTAGTTTCCACGGTCGGTCCGATAAGGCATGCATCCGTGTTCTTCAAGACCTTGCCATGACTACGTAGTACACCACTCCTGTCTCGACGGCTGCATGCAAGGCTGGCACGCTGGTATTAGAAGCAAAAGGGGAGATGTCGACGTCTGAGGAAGAATCCTTCACGTCAAGGCTAGAAGCTGCGGATGAGGTCAAGACACGTGCGAACGGACACACGAGCATTTTTGGTGCTATCTGCAGTCGAATTTCGGAAAACGCCGCTGTAATTTTCGAAAATCGTTTTGGGCTCTGAGTTTGGGAGACAGCCATCAAAGGGACGGTTAGACTTCATCATCCCAAATCAAAGGACGGTTTCAAGTTGTTCCTCGGTATTCCAGCCTCGTCGGCGTTAGGCTATCCGAAAACTCCACGGACAATTACCTCCAACGAGAAGGCTGAAACACCAAAGTCATTTGCCGACAGTTTTCCAACAGAAGAGAATTGAAGATGATCGCATCGGCAATGCCGAGCATACCGAGTTTTATAACAACTGACTTGTTACAGCATGACTGCCGGAGACCAGCACTACAATTCTCGGTCCTGGACAGAAGGAAATCACTGATTGCCCGGACCAAACTCCCCATTCCCTGTCCAAACGCCTGGCGAGTATTCCCAGAAGCAGTTTCCAAAAGCAGATATCCCATTGTGTAAACCAAACATTGTCCCAAGAGCATCGTGCATATCATAACCAAAGCGCAGTCCGAGCTCGACAATAGCTCTATAGTTCCGCATTCGGGCAGTTGCCCTTGCACTTCTTGGGCAGGTACCTGACCTCCCTTGCGCAGTTACTCGCGTCACCGTAGCTTCTCAGGTCGCTCGCGGGAACAAACTGTCCCGTCTGCAGGCTCCCCATTAGAGAATAGCTGTACCACGCCTCGTGAAGCACGTCGCGCCCTTGTCCGGAGCACCGCAGCACCACGCGGCCGCCGCTCAGCCTCTCCAGCGTCCTGGTCACCTCGGCGAGAGCGTAGCGCTTGGAGGTCGAGGGCGTGATGCCGGCCCTCTCGAGCGCCGTGAAGGTGTCGAGTTGGCGGAAGAGGGAGAAGGCGCGGGTGAAGTAGTCGACGACTTCGATGCCGGGGGCGTATGCGGTGTCGTAGCAGGTTGAGGAGAGGGTGTTTATGCAGCTTGCGTGGGTGTTGTACTCGCTGGCCCAGAGGTTGTTGTTTGTGCCGCTGCGAGGGAGGGTGTTTGTTAGCATTGTTGATTGAGTGTTTGGGTTCGGCCGATGATGGGCCGGAAGGGAATTGCTGCTTGGTCCCGGCCGGGGATGCACGGGGACGGGGACGGAGACGGGGAAGAGGGGGGCCGGAGTGGGGGACCACGGGAGGGGAAGGGGCTTACTATGCTGCTACCCAGTATCTCTCCATCAAAGCCAGGAGGTCATCTTGACCGTAATACTTCAGGACATCGGTGATGTTGGTAAACTGAGGCTCCGTGCCGTAAAATGCTTTGTAGCTTCTATCGCATGGTTCGGGCCTATGGCAAGTATCCCAGTTAGATAAGTACCTACTTATTCAATTGTCTTTCCGAAGGGATTTAACTTGGCAGGGGGTGGCAATTCTTCCAAGCCAATGTGATCACAATCACGAGAAGAGTAGCTAAGGGATGGTGGAATAGAAAGAACATACCATAGCCCATGGAGCGTCCAATCCTCCTCTACGCCGGGGGCGTGTACGGTGTCATCCCAGAATTGGGTGAGGAGGAGGCGACTGGAGGGGTAGACGTGGCAGCATGCGTTCCTGGCGGAGCCGTCTATTGGGCACTTTGGCGCGCCGGAGAGTGGTTCGTATGTAGTCGGTGGTGTTGCGAGGCTTGAGGATGTGCCTGTGAAGTCGTTGGTGATGGGGGAGAGGTGGGGGAGGAGGGAGGATAGGTTTTGGAGGAGGGCGCGGAGGGAGGGCGCCATTGCGGCTTTGTCTTTCTTTGTATCTTTATAATGGTTTTTTTCTTTGAAGAGATGATGTCTGGTTTGGTTTGATGGTGATAGGAATGGGGGGTGTGAAGTGGTTGTGGGATTGAGGGCGTTGGTTGCGATATGGAGCTTTAGGTGAGGGTTTGGTCCGAGGCGGAGCTTGTCTGGGGATTCTGCCGCGTCAGGTGGGGACTAGCTGTGGCTTGGCGGGCTCACCGCTTTTAAATCGAGAGTTATCATTGGGCGACGAGGGATCATTTGAGACTTGCGGGGCTGATCGGTTGTGTGGAGACTGTGGGGTGCGGTGACATGCTGCTTGTTGCGGTTTGGATGGCAGACGGGCGTTTGGGTGAGGACTCTGATCTATCTACGCTCGAAATTGGGTTTGGATGCACGCTTCCAAATTATGTATTGATTCATGAGTAGGACTGGATTGCTTTTGGAGTCTGATCGAGCAGGTGGTGTTGCTGTGAGTGTTGAGTAAAAGGCCTGGGTTTGGTTACTCGAACGTAAAATAAGAGAATGTGATAAATCATCATGGAAAACGAATATGCGCTTTCCACGCACTGCAATATCCGTCTAACTCTCCTGATGTATTGTACATGCCATACTCTTTTTTGTCTTCAGACGAGCTGCTAGAAATCCCGCTGATACCTAATCATCTTACCACTAAGCTTGATGGTCTACCTCCGGGCGCCCCGATCTCTTCGCTCCCCACGTTACTTGGACCATGCGAAGACGAGGACTACTCGCCTATATAGAACTCCGAAGACACATAAACGACACAATTACCAGTTCAAGTGAACAGTAAGTTCTGGACGATGCACAGGCTTGCTGGAAACGAAGCACGCTTAAGCTAAATGAAATATGTGAAAGGCTGGCCTATGCAAGGGAAGCTGCTAATACACTTTTGAACTACGCTTATGTGCGCAACGAAAGTTCTTTTCACCAAAATTGACGTTACGGCGAGCTTCGGACTGGTAGCTTGCTTGCCCTCATGTCCCCGGGCCCGACGGGGGCAAGTGGAGAATGCGCTTCATAGAGAAGGGGCACTTATTGAATGAGTATGAGGGTACCATTTGTCTATCTACATGCAAAAACGATGAGGCATGAACGAATAGCCTTTCTTGCGGTCACTGTCGTACATTGGTGGTCATTATTCATCTTTATTCTAGCAAACACCTTTTCGTCCGAGTCTCCATCTCAGACTTCGTAATCCTCTTACCATGCTTTCCTGTTCAAAGCCAGATCTCTTCCTCGTACCTAGTAATGGGGACTTCAGGACCATTTTAACTAAACCGCAAATGCGAATCAATGATCTTGAAGCGCAATGAGCTATCCAATTTGATCATATATGAAGTCAAAATCAAATAATTCCTTCAAGTATAGCTCGTCTTTTGGAATTCATTCCACCCCAATTGTTCTAAGCGAATACAACTCTACATTTAATGACATTACGTGATTACTGAAGATATGTTTACAACATTCTTTCCTCGCACTTCATCCACCTAGGGGTTAAGGGTTTGACTTGGTGCAGGTTGATTCAGTACGGTGACTGTGAGAAGGAACGCAGTGCCCGACACTGGAGGACTACTTGTGGACGCGAGAGTTGGACTTGTAGACCTCGTATCTATCGGGAGGGGATCCGTGGTTGGTAAAGTGCGGGTGCTGGATCCACTACTCGTTGTCGAGGCAGGAGACGTAGTTGACAATGGAGCGCTGCCGCCCGACGTCTCAGAAGGGATTGAAGCAGAGACTGGAGTAGGAGACATTGAAGAAAGCGGTAGAGTTGTAAGGGGGGATCCGCTGCTGGGAACGCTTAACGCTGGTGTAGTCGAGGCTGAAGTGCTCAAGGTCGCTGACTGGCTTGAAGTTGTCGCGAGAGAGGTTGTATTTGAGTAGTAGAGCGAACTGCCGCTGCTTGATGATCCCTGGGACGATGTTGAAGATGACGCCGACGATGATGAAGAAGTGCTTGAGATTACTGGGCTGGCTGGTAGGCTTGATGTACTCGAAAGCATGCTGTTACTAAAGCTCGTACTGGTGCCAGAAACCGATGTATCCGAACTCAACGAAAGAGAAGACGTAGTCGAAGTAGAGGAGACGGTCGAAGATGAACTCGAACTCGTAGAGTTGAGGAGGCTCTCGTCCAGCTGGTACACGGTGTACACCGGCGCGCCCAGCTCAAATGGAATCGCACCGCCACAAGGCGCCGAGGGGAACGAGCTGCACGGATTTGTGCAGTAGTTATCGTTTGGGAGAATTTCCGATGAGAACGGTGTTACCGCTCCCGGCACCAGGACACTGCAAATGCAGAGAAACTTTGACATCATGGTGATCGTTCGCCTGTTGGTCTTGCAGTACTGTTGACAGTCGACTGGTTGATTCGCCACGTAGGGGTTGAAGAGGAGATCGACGTCGCTAACCATGGAGTTATCTAGGGGGCCACAACCTATGTACCGTGCTGGTGCGAGGGGGGCTGGAACTAGGGTGTTGACTGGGAACGTTGGGATACTTCTTGTCGTTGAGGTCGTTGGGGTTGTCGAGGTCGTTGAAGTTGTCGAGGTCGTTGAGGTTGTTGAGGCCGACGTTGTTGAGTCCGTTGAGGAGGACGAAGATGACGAGGAGACGGAGGAGGTTGACGTCGGTGACGACGATGTCAAAGACGTGTCCGTGGTTGTCTGAGAGGTCATCGTCGAGGATGAAGACAATGTCGTGGCAGTGGTACTGCTGGTTCCGCACGTAGCAACCGCTTTGTACAAATTGAGATAATTCGGGTCACCACCACATCTTGCGTTCGAATCGCCTAGGCACACTCTGTTGCATAGAGTTTCGGCTACTGTAATGATGACAGGCGCTACCGTCTCGGGCACAATTGAACATCTGCAGTAGTAACCGTCGTATAGGCTTCCGTACGTCGAACCAAGATCGCTGCAGAATCGCTGGCACTTGCCAGGAGTCAGAGTAGCGTCGCCCAGTAGACGGCTGAAGACCGTGTTGAAGTTTGGGATGAGGACACAGCCGACGTATTGCATCACGCAAGGGATGCTGTACTGCGACTGATCGGGAAGTTGCGCGTTGGTGAAAGCCGTTGCTAGCAATGCCAGGAGCAGCCGGGCTACTGGAAACCGCGCCATTGTGCTGATCGTACGTCGTTGTTCGCCGCTTGATGTTGATAGACTTTGCGTAGAGAACTTGGCCGATCGAACGGGTTTACTGAATAAGGTATCTTGCACACTTTCGTTTGCTTCTCTGGAAGTGAGATTCCCGGTCAAGGCGCAATGCCGCAAGTGGTGTTCGTGGGAAGCCTTTTGAAAGATGAGCTAGAACAACTATTTAGGGGCCAGCTTCCGTTTTGAGCAGTGGCAAACATCTACCCTCGTGCCTCGCATCGAACTGATGAACATTATCCATGTTACGTCAAGCCCGCACTGGGTGGACGCGGATTGTATATGGGCTTCGGAGACAACGAAACTGACTGCGCGATGGCTGGAGCCTGACTCCTTCAGAGGATTGGTCTCAACTCTCAAGAATGTAGCGATATTACAGCTCAGGTTGTTTGTTACACTAACAATGGCATTTTAGGGAATGGGAGACTGCCTTTGCTGGCATGCTGACTTAGTTCATCTGGATGTCTTGGTAAGACAGAGAAACCAGACACTCAAAATCTCTGAGGCAGCTCTCTGGTCCTTGTCAGCAGTGAGGCTTTGAGGATTGAAAAGCGCAGTCTCTCATCTTGGACAGATGCATCAATAATCGAGCGATTTGGTAATCAGTAAACTCACATATCCTGCCAAGCATGCAGTTGGGGCAATAGGAGCAAATTGATGTGGAGTTCAACATCTCTCCCATGCTCATTCTCGTAGAAGAAAGTGTGCGCCTCATTCAATATGACGTGAGTTGAGCAATTCCTCAAGGCGGTGGAAATATGCACACCTGAGCGCATGCGGCGCTGCTTCCACCCCCAACGATGATCCTCTGGCTTTATGTGCCTTTGCATGATCGTGTGTGCAGGGGAGGCACGCATGTCGTGGAAATAGGATTACCACAGCGTTGGGACTTGTGGAATGGCTATCTGGTCCTCCCTATAATTGATTTCCGGGCTAGATTCCCCCCTCGGACACTTCACGAATCACGTCGCTTGAATTTTGAAAGTGTGTCTCGGATCTTCAGCCTTCTGGCAAGGGGCTGGCTGGACTTGATCCGGAGACTCATGCTGCATCTTGGCAGGGAAGAATGCCGGCCAAACAAATGACCCAAGAAATGTCTTGTCTTTGTCGATCTTAAATCACATACGTTACGCTTGTTGTCTGCGCTAGGGAATTCCTGGCATGGCGAGGAAAGGGGCCTTTGAAATTTGGTAAAGTTGTATCTATCCGTATGATATAGGCATCTGATCGAGCAGGATTCGATCACCTTATGCTTTATGGACCAATTATATACGGGAGACAGACTACTAGGCGCAATTGAAAACTTCAAGGCTTGGTCTGCACCGTCGATTTCGAGACGGGTCCAGCACATATGGTGCCGCATTTCTCTATCGTTACTCTGCCTATCCTCAAGCCTTGTATGCACGTACTAGATGAGAAAAAAGAAGCAAAAGGGAAAGAAAAAGCAGAACTTTCAACAGCGGCATATCCCTAAAGGACCGGAGTCTCTTGTATGCCCTAACGCCGTCTGGCCCTCGATGTGGTAGTGGCCCCTGGAGCCACGAAACAGCTGATAAACGACATCATCAAACGACAGCCGTCAGTCGTACTTCAAACTTGATGCATTCATTTCTCAGAGCTGACAAGAAAGACATAACAATTGGGCACATCAACAGCCGAATGCTCGTGAGCTTGATGATCTGTTCTGAACGCAGCTCTCAATGCATTGATCATTCCAATCTCGAAGCATGTGGTAGGTGAAAATTATTCTCATGGTCGCCGCGCAGGAGCCAGGTTGCTCCTCCCATCTGATGTGGTTCGGGCCTAAGCTCGTCTGAATGTCTGTGAACAAGCAGTAAGATTGCTTGGGCCTTGTGGAGAGGGCAATCTGAAGACCAGATCAACTCCACTTAGGGGTGTATCGTGCAGACACACTGTGTAAACATGGAGATCCACTAGATTTTCGTCAGCTGTACGTAGACACAGCGAATTTCGCGACATCACCTCATATACATAGTTTTCCGCCTCAAAGTCTCGGAAATTGCATTTTACCATGAGTTAAGCGAATTTAAGGACCCATTACTTGAAATACCGAGAAAGGAGATTCAGAAGATTTTTGAGTTTAAGACTCAAAAACATGGAAAGTATCTTTTCCGACTTGTAACATCTCGAAGCCCGCAAGCAGGCGTACGGAGGCTGAGACGCAGTTCTAAGCCCTCGCTAATCTTATCCGATCATTTGAATTGAGATTTTGATTGTGTAATGTGGTAAGATGTCCTCGATTCCCCGCAATAATGCACGCTCATGGTCGACAATGAGGTTGAGCGTAGCTGTACGCACTTGGCATTGCTTGATGCCCGACCCGACTTTCTGGTACGCCGAGGCTAGGAAAAAGGCCAATCTCATGATTGACCAATTTCCAATGAAAACCTTGTTCTTCTTGTGCTGCTCTTTGCAAATCTTAACATTGGAGCCAGTTAGCCAAAGTCTGCCACTCGCAGCCCGCAGCAGAAGCAGAAATGCTGCTTTGACGCGGTTTCAGCTCAGATGATTGTGATGTTGGCCGCAGAACCCGGTTGGATAGTCGCGCTGTATGTGAGTTCTCGGGGCAAAGCGCGCACAGAAACGTTCATCCAGGAAAAGAGTTCCCCCTCCGCCGTCCCTCTCGGCTTATTGAACCGGCGGTTAGGCGGCAGAGGTATCCACCACGAACTCCACTTTTGGCCGGGCGGGGTCCGCCCTATCGGGCTCGGGCCGCTCGCCCCGCTCGGCCCGACATTCTCTTGAGACACCGTCCTTTCTTTCTACCAACACCAATGCTGTGGACTTGGCCAATGTCGGGCTGCGCTATGCTGACTGCATTTCTTCGATAGAGGGCTATCAATGCGGCACTTTTGTGTACATTTACTGATCAAGCTGCACTTCGGATTCGGATTATTTTCAGTAAGCCAGATGGGATGTTTGATGAACCGATATCAATCTACCCTGAAGAAACCTAGTAGTACCATCCCCAAACGCCATTTCCTCTCTAACAGTCATTGAACAGTCATTGTTCTGTCATTGACATTGGTCTAGAGACTTGGAACATGCCGAAAAGCGCTATCGTCATCATCAAATGTCCAAATCTCACCTTGTCACACTGCATCTCTGGCTGGAACCGGCACATTTGTCAAAGTCAGGAGAGGAAACCGAATGCCGCACATAGCCTTACCGTCTTAGACTTCACGTACCCCGCGCGCCTCGCCGGTACCCCGCAACTCTCATCACAACCTTGAAAGCCTCGATTGCTCTATACCGACATCCAAGAATTTCGAAGTAATTTGTGCTTGTACCGGTCTGATGCGGTTATTGTCGGGTGTTTTATGAGCCCATAAGAAGTAATTCAACATGAAGCTTAAGGTCGTAAGATTGTGATGCTTCTCTGCAAGGAGACGGCAGCAATGAAAAAAGCCAATGGAGTTGGAGAATCAATGCAAGAATGAGGGGTCCAAGAACCTAAACAAGAAACGGCCTACATTTGTTGCGGGCAACATTGGGGAAATGGAGCAAGACGCCACAAAGTCCGCGCCGCCACGTGGGATCAAAAGTGTGCTATTCACCGGTAGCATCAGTGGCACATAGCTTTTATGTCATAGACCTGACAATTTGCTCAATGTATGAGTCTAGCTCGGTTGTCACTTCAAACCGGGCCAGTTCCCCAGCTTCTTCCGATGTTGCCGCCGTAGAAGGATCCCGGTTTCTGATCAGCCTTTGAAGCTGCAGCCTTGAGTTTGTTGGGACTGATTCTCAGCCTCATGATGGCCCCATGTCCACACGCGGGGAACATGCTCTCTTGAGATTTGCTCCCAACATTGTAACCCCTCACGGACTACTGCACGATGCTCCTCTCAGGGTTTCAGTGAAACCTACTTCGCGGGGCTCTGCAGAGAAGTCTAGGTCGTGCTGACAGGCCCCTCACGGACTTGGGCACGAAAGAGTTGTCAGCCTTTGACTTCCTCTAGCGCCAAGCTCTGCTTCAGCATCTGAAGTTGGCTCATTTCACATGTGACTGCGAGACTCAGGTACTTTGGCGATACTCGTCGACACTCAGACCAATGGTTCGTCCACGTTGTGAGGTGAATACGACCACGAAGACCTCACTGATCTGACTTGCAGAATCGAGTCCGACACTGGAAAGTCTCGGCCTCGTGTATGTAGCTGATGCTCTGATGTGTGGTCTTTATTGCCCCGCAGCAGACCATGCGAAACCTTCGCACGATGGGAGAAGATGCATAACGCGTACGAGCTGTTTGAGTTGAGGTTTACGCATTCATGATTCACCTTGCAGAGCCGAAGCTTGCGGCACAATTGGAGAAAAGTGTGATCTTCTAGTCTGTCTGAAAAGGTATAAAGACCCACCAAATGTCGCGCAATTTTATCAACTTGCAGACCAGCAGCAACAAGTTTTCAGCTCAGTTCCAAAGACTTCAGTGCTATCAACAAATCACAACATCTTTTAGCTTATTACAACATACTCTACCTAACTTTTAAATTCAAAATGGGTGACATCCGCGGTTCCGAGAGAGACAGCAACGTCATTGCCCTTGTCGAGGCTATCCTTGGCCACAAGATCGAGAGCATGCCCGGCTCTTCATCTCAGAGCACCTTGGAGGACTACGAAGACCTCGTCGAAATGAACAGGGACCACGAGTTCAGCAAGGATGGTCCCCGTCCCGACTCCCCACCCAAGAACCCTTGCGTCGGTGCCGTCAATCCCTATGCCTTGGCCGAGGCCCTGATCGGCCGCAGGATTGACCGTCACTCGATGGCTGCTGCTCAAATCCTTCAGAATGTTCTCCAGACCGACTACGATGAGCTCTTCGACATGCGCCATCACTCTGTTCTCT